CCGAGATTCCAAACACGCGTCCACTGGACTCCATTTCGGGAACGGACTGCTCTACCATGGTAGCTAGCCTCGGGCTCCCTACGTGATCATGTGACGGGTGTCACGACACTATATTGGAAGTAGCGTAGGAGTCAGTTATTTCTGATCCCCGCCCTCCTCACCGTAGAACGTGACGCGGCGAGCGTGACGCAGCGAGGGACACGGTCATCACACACCTGAACTGGCAGATGTTGTCGTGCACCTTGTCGATGGTGACCTGACAGGAGCCGGTGGCGTCGTACGACCCCGGGTAGCCCTCGTTGACGAAATATGTGTTGTTGATGCTGATGCGGTCTCCGCAACTCTTCGTGACTGAGGAGGAAAAGCTCAGGTTACAATTTCGCCGGGGTAGGAGGCTGTAGTTGGATAGTCACGAATTTGCCAATGGTCAAAGTAGCCCGCAAGAGCGTGCATAACTTTCGGAGTACATGCTTAACTTGGCAGGCAACACAAGATGTATTGGCTATTGTTCAGGCCACTCATGACGAACCTGAATGTCACAATGCTGCCATATCTCGAAGGTACCGGTATTCAGTATTCAGTGTCGTTCAGTATTCAGTTCAGTTCACTGCATTATTAATAAAAAGCAATGTAGCCCAAGTCCCTCCCACATAGCTGGCGTCAGGCAACTAGCTGAAGTCCACTTCAGCCGAAACCTCCCAGGCTATCGGAATTACACTTGAGGCTACATCTCAATTAATCCATCAGCGTCAGCCGGCACAAGCTAAGTCAAGACCTAATTTTTCCCCGGAAATGAAACCTCGCCAAGAAAGCTGGCCTTTTAGTCCAATCACTCATGCTCAGAGCGGTAACAAGCTGCAGCCCACCAAAATTGCTTTTACATTTCATCGTGTTTGTGTCTTAAAGTGTGCCGAAGCTGAGTTGGTGGTTTCTGACAATAAAGCTATTCAGTGTAGCGTAGATAGAGTCTGTTTTCCCACTTTCAGCTACGACCGACTTTCTGCGGGATAAAGATTCGCGCTTCCTGGGCTTAGTCCCCAACCCATGTCCATTCCTTCAGTGCTGTGGCAATTCCCTCAGACTTTGACTCGGTGGCACTACATGAGCTTGGTTTGAGGGCTTCTGAGTCATATCTAAGGCAAGTGCGTCGTTTGTACTGCGCTTATGTATGTGAAAATCCAGCTCATCCGACCGTTCGGCTCATGAAATATGCATGATCGGCTGTTTCCTGCTGCTGAACGGGCCCCGGGGTAAAGAGAACTCACAGACGCAGCAGACGCCGTAGTCGTCGGCACAGGCGCCGCTGGCCACGCCGCCCATGCCGCTGCACTCGCGCTCGGTGTAGCAGGTGCCGTTCTCGCCGGTGGAGGCGTTGCAGGTGAAGTGGTCGAATCTCACCAGAGTCAGCAGCGACAGGACTGGCGGTGACCGGGCAGGCGTGACGTCACGATTCACGCGTGAGGTCGGGTCATGTCAGAGGTCACGCATGGGGTCAGGGATAAGCTCTCGAAGGTCGGGAACCGAGTCAAACATCGATTAGCACGTCGTAATGGCGTCTGCTGCGACATGCAGGTCTGGGCGCACCGCCCGCAAGGCATGCAACGTTCGCACCTTACGCAAAACACATGCTGACAACACGATGCGCAGTTGAGGTGACCCGATGAGAGGATCGGCTGGTCGAATGGAGCACCGCGGCGCGCTAGGAACACCCCTCAGTTCACTTGACTTTTTAAGTCGCGCAACACAGATTCAGGGGCGTTGGTGTTGGTTAATTCCAGTGAGCAGGACATCGCCGTGGTGTGTAGACATCAAGGCAACCCCCCCCCCCCCCCCCCCCGGCATAAATCTAGAAATGACGGTCAACCGATTGGAGAGGGATAAAGCTTAAATTAAAGGACATGGGAAGTTAGATGGAGGACAATAGGTGCAGGTTAGACGGATAATTATCGATTTTGTTTCATATCATTATAATGAAAAGATAACATAGAACAACTTGAAATTATACAAAGCAATACGCTTGCGACATGCCGCACCTACGCGATGTCTCCACGCATCCGAATGAGATGAGCTAATCTTATCGGATCCGGCATAGCTCGATGTCATCACCGGATCTTGCATTGCTCAATATCATTGTAATTATGAAATCGCTCACTGCATAAAGGTTTTAAAGCTTTCGGAATAGGTGAAATTAAGATTATCGTAATAGGTCGATAACTTCGTGACTCCTTTTCACATACGTGAGAGGTTCGGAGATCACTGGCGGGGATCACTAGCGGGTGTCTCTGCGACCTGAAATAGGAGCGTATTAAAAGCCACCGCCAGCTTCCCGCCTGCGTACCCACCGCCGCACGGCATTTTGACCCCAGGCATATGTGGCGCTCCACACGTGTACTCCCGTGCTGTCAGAACCCTTGGATGCTCGCAGGGCGTTGTCCAGGGCGCAGGCATGCCTGTCTCGGTCACTCACATCGCGCGTTCCTGTCGCTGTTCTCTGCTGATGAGGTGCGTACGTCCTGATGCTGCTGCTCGTGGCGGTCCTCCCAGCGGCGCTCCCAGAGGCGCTCCTCGCGACCGTCCTCGCGCCTCTGGGCCGCCCGCCTCCAGTCGAGCGCAGCCCGCTCGACACTGCCGGCCCGGTTGTACACCGAGAAATGTTGCTGCGGCTGCAGGAAGCGACGCCGCTGCGTGAACTCGAGGCCGCCGTCCAGCCGGCGCGGTTCCGTGCTGACTGAGCGTAGCGTGGCGTCCCGGTCGGGGCCGCGGCTCGGGTCCTGGCGCGGTCGCGGACGCCACAGTCTGCTGACGCTCTCCGCCAGCCGGTCTCTGAACGAGAGACCGCCGGCCAGCGGCAGCAGGCAGCAAAGCGCGAGCAGCGCAGGACGCGCGGAGACCATGGTGACAGTCGGGGACGAACTGGCCGCCCGCGCCGCCGCCCGCCGCGCGCCGCCCGCCGCGAAAGTAAGAGGTGCGATCAGGCGTTTTTTTGTTGCCGGTCGCGTTGGGAGGCGTAAACAAAAGGGAAACCGTCGCCGTCACGGTCTTGCCCCGGCTGACGACGGCCGGGGATCGGCGGCGCGCGCTGCCGTCACCCGAGGAAAGTGAGCTGACGTGTCCGGTCAGTGGCCCAGCGGGCCCGAGGCTCGGCAGCGGGACCCAGCTCGCCACCCTGCTGACTCAGCGGCGGGCATGCCTCGCCTCGCCTCACCCGGCATGGGAAAGGAGTCGGAGGGCATGACGAGCACACCACGTCCGAGCGACATTGGACAACGGGCATTGTTCTAATGCGGTCAAAGCTTTTTGCTTTTTATGGTGCTCTTCATTACAAGTTGGTTGCGCAAGCCGCCATGGTGACAGGCGCAAGTCAGCCATTGATAGCTAAGCAAGCGCACTGCCCTAAATCCCTTGTCCGTGGGTTAAGGCTTTGCATCTCTCTGGGGGACCCCCTCCCTTATGTTCCTCTTGCCTCCTCCCCAATGAGATTTTCGACATCTCATTGTGAACCAGCTGTGTTGCCAGCTTCCCTTGACATTTTCCATGCAAAATGGCAAGGGAAACTGGCGAATTCGACAGAAAATAAAAATAAAAACATCGCAGCCGTCTGCTAAAAACCGCACCTGAACAAGAACATTGTGGATATATTTCAAAAAGGCATTAGGTGCTAGCATGAAAAGGCATTAGGTGCTAGCATGAAAAGGCATTAGGTGCTAGCAACGAACAGTGCAGACAAAAAACTGCAATCGAAACGAATAGACAGAAGTTAATAAGGTACTTATGTATACGTAACCTGTAGATATCTATACATTTGCACGAAAGACACCCTCGAGACAGAGCAGTTGTTGTGGGCCATCGAGCATCTCCGGACCACGGCACAGACAAATGTATTGGGAATACCAAAGACACCCTCCAGACAGAGCAGTTTTACAGTAAAGAGACAGGGGCCATCGAGCATCTCCAGACCACGGCACAGGAGCCATCGAGCATCTCCAGACCACGGCACAGACAAATGTGTTGGGAGTACCACAGTTGCTGTACCTAATGGTAGCACGGTATTTTTGCTCGTAGATTGCAAAATATTGGTGTGCCTTCGTCCCATAATGACGCTTGATTCCGTGTTGTTTCTGAAGAGCTGAGTCAGGAGTGACCCGGTGATTCCTGTCAATGCGGCTTCCTTGCAATGCATTGCCGCTTCAATGCGGCAATGCAATGCGCATACATAGCTGAATAAGTTATTTCAGTTTTGACAACACCCCTTGCAAATGCGTTTCGAGATCAGGGACTTTACCAAGCTGAGTCTGTTGCAAAGACCAGAGCTGCGCCGCCCTAGCAGGGCAGATCCATGGTTTTCGCGGGCAGTTCTAGCCGATGAGTTGACGTCGCACGTTTCGCTGTGCGTGGTCGGCCGGGGCCGGCCTGGCCTATCCCTCACGGCCGGCTGCCAGTTGGCTGCCATAGACAGGCGGCGTAGGCGCGGCACTTGAGGCGCGATCCCACATGTTTGCTACACAGCGGACTAACGACTCTGGCGCCTTCCCAACTGAGCTATCGTCGCGACGGTCTCAGGCGTTTTAAAGATAGCTCATGAATGACGTATGAAAACGCAATGAGCTGGCTATATGAAGATAGGCTACCAATGCTCACGGCCCAATCTGTGTTTGGACTCGAAATATGTGTGCGCGTGTTTTTTTAATGCGTTAGGTGAATTGGGCATACATTTTTCAATAGCTTAACACTCCAGACCGACTCCTACCGGCCAAGTTGTCTAACGACATCTGCTGCTTGATATGCTTGTCCTTGGTCCTTTGCACCACCTGCCGAACGCCTATTTATAGGCGTTCTACTACTATATATATAACGCAATTCTCCGTGGGAGCTTGCACACTGCCGAATTTAAGCGTGAACAACGCGGTCATATCTTAGGTCTCTGAGGTGAGAATTTGCGACTTTGACTTACTGGATGCTGAGCCAGCGGGTGACTCACAAGCCAGCTGGAGATCGTGCGGATGACCACGTCGCGAGACCACGACCTCTTCGGCGGATGTGGGCAGATGTGCACCCATGCGATGTGGAATGCTGCACATTTAATGGTGCATCTATGCGCATTGTTCAGTGATCGTTTGCCATTTCACTGATGCTAATGTTTGGTGAATGCTTTTAGCCCCACCGCCCTACGACGTTCCGCCGCGTATAAAAATTTGCAGGGTGGCCTGCTTTTTAATTGCGCAATGCTGCTAGGTGAGATGGGGTTGAAATATTCACGGCTAGTTGCATGCAAAGTTCCATCGATGGAAAAGAAATGTTTGCAAAAATACTTGCAAAAATCAACTTTGTTGAATTTCTCACAGCTTGACTGCAGCAAGCATTTATTTGTGTTCTAGGCAACGCGTACGTGCTGTTTAAAGGCCGCAACCAGGATTTTCTCAAGGGGGAGAAGAATGGGGGGAACCCAGTCAATGCAATACTCCATTAAAGACTCGGAGGAGTCGAATGTAGTGCTCCTAAGGAGCACCATAAAACGGACCTAAGGAGGCTCCCCCTCCCCCCCTCCCCACTCATGCCGCGCCTCTGCGTTAGCTGCAGCTCCTTTAATTCCAAGCAGCCTGCAAGCTGCTAAGCGGTAAATGACCCCGAGGCGGATAACTGGATTAATATTCCGGATTACGCAGACAATTAAGATAGAACCTGCCCGCGGTGGTATAAGGGACGCAAGACGTTTGCTTGCAATACTTGAGAAACCCGAATCAAATTGTCATAGAGTGCACAGAGGGCGATATTTCCTAAATGGAATAAAAACACGACGTTTCGTAAGCATCCAGGCCTTAGGCACGCAGATGCCACTGATTCTAATTGGTGCTTGCATCAACTGGCAGGGGAAAGGCGGAACAAAACCTACAATCGACGGGCACTACAACGTTCAGGGCACGCCCGAACGAACTAAACACGCATTCGACTGGGAGATAAATCCACCTGGAGCAATGGAACACCTGGAACCGGAAACAATAAGTGGCGCTGGGAATGGCCTGGGGAGGGGGAATTCAAAACAATCACGGGCATCAATGCGGGCGGGGAAAGAAGCGGGCGGCACTCCTGCAGCGTCCGGGCAGTTGTCAAGGAACATCACTTCTTACTCGGGTTTCTGACCAGCAAGAGCCCAGAAAACACCGTGAATTGTCAGCTCTCGTTCCGAAAGTAACCCACGTTCAATGGACAAACAGGCTGCACAAGAAGACTAAAAGACAGTAGTGTTAGCCTAATTCCTCGTCCAATAACCAGGAAAAAGGGAGGAAGAAAGAGACAGATGCATTGATGTTTCGGCTCCATGCCGTTGTCAAGACGATTTCAACGACCATCGGCAGTAAATTTGAAGTTGCCTATCGATTTCACTCGACTTCTTTAAAACAGCATGCCGCAGCTTTTACAGGTCACAAGCATTTATGAGATTGAACAAGGAGCACTTGCCAGTCATTATCACGATACAGTGTATATATAATGGATAGCGATGCCTGAAAACGCGTACATGCGAACGAATTCAGGTAAACAAGCGATCTAACGTACACAGGGGATCACGCATCACACATCACTCAAACATGCAAACGACTTCAAGTAAACGACCATCACGCATGACGCATCAGGCATTACTCATACATGTAAGCTGTTCGGATTTAGCACGCATAACGCATTAAGGCACTAATCACGTCCGCATAATCGGCCATAATAAGCCCTGCACGTTCAGGTCTGACCGCGGTCATCGAATTAAATGGTTTCGTTTATTTTCCAGTCAGTGTGGTCCTGTGCTCTGAACGTAACTTTGACTTCAAAAATGGGTATAGGAGGTGCAGGCTCCATACGGGTGTTCGGACTGTACAACCTTGCTGCAGCTCGAAGTGATATACAGAGCACAGGCACATCCAGGCATGAAATAAGGCAAATCCGTTCTTATAAGAAGCCCACAATCAGGCCTAAGCGTGCAGGGCTTATCATGGCCGATTATGCGAATGTAATTGGTGCCTTAATGTGTGATCGGTAGCGGCAGTTAGAGAGGCTGCTGTCTCCAGCTCCGGATCCTGGCTTTCTCCCCTTGTTCCCTGCTGTGGACCTCGTTTAGGCTAATCTGACCACTGCTGCGAGCATCGTGACCGGACTTGGTACCCTGTCGCCAGCCCCACCCACAGAGTGGGGCCAGGTGGTGCTCGTTCCTTGTTTCTGCAACCCCTGGTACGTGATATGACCCTTCACGGGCGCCATGTTGCAGCTCCGGGCGCCGGCCTGAACGAGGGCGCGCAGAACGACGTGTACTACGGCCGGCTGCCCCCCAACATCACCGACCAGGACAACCTGTGTCCGATGCAGGAGGCGGCGCCGTGCCGCGAGTGTCCGACGCTGGTCTACCCGGGCGGCCGCGGCTTCCCCGTCGCCTACGGCAGCCAGGTGCGCAACGTGACCAGGATCGAGGGACTCAAGGCCAAGGGGCTCGGCAACAGGACCATGGGTGAGTGGATGGTGCTGTAGGCACTGACGGGCGGTGAGGCATGACCGTGGTGGAAAGTTCTGCTGGTGAGCAGCTAACCGAGGTGATGATCTACCGTTATATCGATCGGACCCATCGCATGATGTTCGCTAATTATGCTGCAGCTATCACGTATCTACCAATCCACCGCTTCATCAAAGGACCGAAACCCCTAACGCGTGCCAGCTAAGGAGCGTACAACTCAGTGCAACCGTGGCAGCTTCCTTCCAAAAAAAAAACGTGGCTAATCCAATAAAATATGCCGGAGCTCATAAGATAATCCTGTGCTGCACAGCCAGCCATCGGTGCATGTAAAGTCACCGCTGCCGCCCTGATCACGGCGGTTCTGGCTATGTAGTTCCCGGCTTGATTTCAGCCACTGAATGCGCTGCGAAGGTGACAGAGCTGACACCAGGCTAACCTGGCCTCGAAACGTGACGGTGGTCGAGCGCCACAGTGTGTTTTGGTGCTGCTAAAGGCATTTTAATGTAACTGACGTTGATGCCTGTTAGGTAATGACATGCGTACGGGGCTTTGTATTCCCCAAATTTACCAGCCTGTGTGAAATGGTTATTTCGTTGAAATTTTGCCACAGTTTACCTTCTACAGAATGCTTTCGACACACAAACGCATTTAATCGTACCATACACAATAATATACGCGATCACATGAATATATACATTTGTGGCATGTGATTGTCCAAAGTATATTTGCTGTTAAGCATGTACACGCTTGTCTTCCAGCTATTGACAGTTGTATCGCTGCAACACAGCATGAATGGCGCAGCAATGTGGCGTCGTTTGGAGGATTTTCCGCCATTCAACGGCCCATGCGTGCCAATGAAGCAGCCGCCCGGCGTCTGGTGGTAACGGAGCCTGCGGTCTGTCAGCAGCCGTTCGCCGTCTGGTGGTGACGGAACCTGCGGTCTGGCAGCTGTCAGACGGGGAGCTGGGCACTGGCCACTGGCGAGGTGTGTTGCGCTACACCTTCCTCTCTCCGCTGGCCGGCCATGTCATGGCCGTCATCTGGCCACAAAGGCGCCAGCCGGGGCAGAGGACGGCAGCCGCGGCTACCGGCCGGTCCAGCCAGCCGGGGCAGAGGACGGCGGCCGCGGCTACCGGCCGGTCCAGCCAGCCGGGGCAGAGGACGGCGGCCGCGGCTACCGGCCGGTCCAGCCCGCTTGTGCAGAGGACGGCGGCCCCGCGGCTACCGGCCGGTCCAGCCAGCCGGGGCGGAGGACGGCGCGGTCTCGGCTACCGGCCGGTCCAGCCAGCCGGGGCAGAGGACGGCGGCCGCGGCTACCGGCCGGTCCAGCCCGCTTGTGCAGAGGACGGCGGCCGCGGCTACCGGCCGGTCCAGCCAGCCGGGGCGGAGGACGGCGGTCTCGGCTACCGGCCGGTCCAGCCAGCCGGGGCAGAGGACGGCTGGCCGCGGCTACCGGCCGGTCCAGCCCGCTTGTGCAGAGGACGGCGGCCGCGGCTACCGGCCGGTCCAGCCAGTCGGGGCGGAGGACGGCGGTCTCGGCTACCGGCCGGTCCAGCCAGCCGGGGCGGAGGACGGAGGCCGCGGCTACCGGCCGGTCCAGCCCGCTTGTGCAGAGGACGGCGGCCCGCGGCTACCGGCCGGTCCAGCCAGCCGGGGCAGAGGACGGAGGCCGCGGCTACCGGCCGGTCCAGCCCGCTTGTGCAGAGAGGACGGAGGCCGCGGCTACCGGCCGGTCCAGCCAGCCGGGGGCAGAGGACGGCGGCCCGCGGCTACCGGCCGGTCCAAGCCAGCCGGGGCAGAGAAGAACGGAGGCCGCGGCTACCGGCCGGTCCAGCCCGCTTGTGCAGAGGACGGCGGCCGCGGCTACCGGCCGGTCCAGCCAGCCGGGGCGGAGGACGGCGGTCTCGGCTACCGGCCGGTCCACCCAGCGGGGCAGAGGACGGAGGCCGCGGCTACCGGCCGGTCCAGCCCGCTTGTGCAGAGGACGGCGGCCGCGGCTACCGGCCGGTCCAGCCAGCCGGGGCGGAGGACGGCGGTCTCGGCTACCGGCCGGTCCAGCCAGGCCGGGGCAGAGGACGGCGGCCGCGGCTACCGGCCGGTCCAGCCCGCTTGTGCAGAGGACGGCCGGCCGCGGCTACCGGCCGGTCCAGCCAGCCGGGGCGGAGGGACGGCGGGTCTCGGCTACCGGCCGGTCCAGCCAGCCGGGGCAAGAGGACGGCGGCCGCGGCTACCGGCCGGTCCAGCCCGCTTGTGCAGAGGACGGCGGCCGCGGCTACCGGCCGGTCCAGCCAGTCGGGGCGGAGGACGGCGGTCTCGGCTACCGGCCGGTCCAGCCAGCCGGGGCAGAGGACGGCGATCGCGGCTACCGGCCGGTCCAGCCCGCTTGTGCAGAGGACGGCGGCCGCGGCTACCGGCCGGTCCAGCCAGCCGGGGCAGAGGACGGCGGCCGCGGCTACCGGCCGGTCCAGCCCGCTTGTGCAGAGGACGGCGGCCGCGGCTACCGGCCGGTCCAGCCCGCCGGGGCAGAGGACGGCGGCCGCGGCTACCGGCCGGTCCAGCCAGCCGGGGCAGAGAACGGAGGCCGCGGCTACCGGCCGGTCCAGCCCGCTTGTGCAGAGGACGGCGGCCGCGGCTACCGGCCGGTCCAGCCAGCCGGGGCGGAGGACGGCGGCCGCGGCTACCGGCCGGTCCAGCCCGCCAGGGCAGAGGACGGCGGCCGCGGCTACCGGCCGGTCCAGCCCGCCCACCTAGGCCCTAATGCCGCACTTCTGTTATCGCTGCGGAGCTCATGGGAGCTCGTTAGACGTGAGCGGCCCGCGCCGACGCCGCCGGCGGAGGGACTTTCGTCCACTTACCAGCCGGCCTGGGGGCTACCAGACTGACCGCGTCTGTTGTCTGGTGGGAAAGCAAATGTGCTCGCAGCGATCCTCTGAGGCGATTTATACGTAACAGAAGACATGGAAAATGGGCTGGCGTGGCGCTTGACCTTAAGACTGAAATGAAACGGATTTTACGGAGAAGATCGCTTTGACGCTTTCTCCCGATACACTTTACATCGAAATAGATCGCCGACGCCTTGAGCAGCGGAGAAGAGCGAGGCGTTACCAGATGTGCGAGTTGCCAGCTGTCATTACGTTGATGGTGTCAAAAACCGAGGGAGTGTAAGCAAGACACCTTTGCTAGTGATTCTAACGGGTTTTATCAATACTTTGAAAAGCATTTTCCATGATAATTTGATAGGCGAAGGTACACTGCTGTAGCGTATGCGAGTAAATCGAGTGAATTAGGTTTGTATAAAGTAAATCAAGAAGATGTGGCATTGTACCTGCAACTTACGCTGCATGCTTCGTTGTCTTGAACTTTAATCTATTACTTTTTGTCACACGACCATAATGAATAGGCCCGGGCTATCCTAGAAATGAGGCGCACTAACCCGTGCCCGACCGAGGGCTGGCCATTGTACACAACCGAGTGGCGGACGAAAAGACCCCCACCCCCGGCTCACTTAGGAACGGTTAGTAGCGGGGTGAGAATAGGGACACCGCTAGAAATATCGTTTCGAGTAAAGCTCGAAGCCATTTTATTTCCCGTTTTCTCTAATCCGTTTATGTCTATTTTAATCCGCCTATGGCCTTAAAATTAGTAACAGAGCTGCTCTCAGAAGCGAACTTCACCCGCACTAGCCGGATTGGCAGGAGCTGATGCCAGCGTTCTGCCCCTGAGTTGGTGGGCTGTCTTTCTGTATCATCGTCAGTCAAACACGTTCGCTATCAGTTGTTTATCCTCCACATCCCGACAGTGCTTTTCAGACGTCTGGTGTTCTCTTAAATATGTTATTTCGTGCAGGGACGGACCCAGCATTTCGTCGAGGAGGCCACGCAGGGGTGGATCCAGAGGGGGGGGGGGGCACCGGGCGATGACCCCCCTTGGGCCCCGAAAGGGCCCACTGGTTCCGAGGGGGCCCATAACCGGCCGAACAGGTGCAGTTTTATTAACACAAAACGCAACAAAACTGGATATCTCTGGACTTCCAGGCGACCGAGACCAGAAGTAACCAAAAGTGAAGGGCCTATAAGAAGTCAAAGAAAATATTCGATGATTAGAAAAGTTGCGAACTAGAACTTTGATGCCGCATTACACTGCAAATGGGTCCCATGCTGTTTCCGAGGGACCTGTATGCCCACTTGCAGAATCATTTCGAGCGTTAAGGAGCATTCCGCGTTGCCCTTTATTTCTTTGAATTTGCTCGGAGGGCCCTACATTCTTGTCGGGTATCCATCTGATGGCTTGCGTGGGCACACTCAGTCGTTTGGGAACCCCTCACACTGGGTCTTGGGTACCTCTTTTCTAAATGGGGCCGTACGCTCTTCTAGGGGGGTTGGGACCTATCTGATAACCTGCTCGGGCACATTCGATCGTTCGGGGGCCCTCTATATTGGGTCTTGGGCACATGCTAACTGAATGAGGCTCTACGCACTTGCGGGCCTCCTCTGTTCGCCTTCTCAGCCACCCTGGATTGCTCAGGGTGGGGTGGGCGGGGGGGGGGGCTGCACATTGGCCTTGGTGTTCGAATTTGTGGCCCTCTGCTCCTATCGGGGTCATCTAATAACCTGGTCGGGTACTCTCCATCTTTCGGGGGCCCTCCGCACCGGGTTTTGGGTACATCTTATTTTAATGGAGGTCCTTACGCTCCTGTCTGAGCCACTTCCAATAAAGTGCTCGGGCCCAATAGATTATGGGGACCTCTGCATCTGGTTTTGGGCACTGGCTTTTTGAATGGAGGGTCCTCCGCTCATTTGGGGCTCTATATGTTAATTAGCACTGGCGCATTCGATCATTCGGAGGTCTCTACATCGTGTCGTGGGTATTTCATATTTGGACGGAAGACCCTACGCTCTTGCTGGGTCCCCATCTGTTAACCTGCTCGGGCACACTCGAAATCCATGGGCATTGTGTCTTGGATACTTCCTATCTGAATGGAGGGCCCTAAGCACTTGTCACGGACCCCATCTGTTCGCCGTTTCGACCCCACTGGATTGTTCGAGGGTCCTATATATTGGGTCTTGGTTTTTGAATTTAGGGCTGTTCATTCTTGTCTGGGCCACCTGATAATCTGCTCAGGTATACTCCATCTGCCGGGTGTCCTCCGCACTGAGTTTTGGGTGCTTCTTGTTTGAATTGAGGGCTCTACGTTCTTGTCGGGCCCCTTCTGGCAAGCTGCCCGGGCACATTCCATCCTTCTGGGGCCATTTACATAGGATCTTCTGTGCATCCCATTCGAATGGAGGGTCCTATGCTTTTGTTGGAAGCCCTGTTTGTTAACATGCTCGGGTACACCCGATCATTCGGGGGCCTCTACATTGGGTTTTGGGTGCTTCCTATTTGAATGGAGGGCTCTACGCTCTTGACGGGGACCCTATATGCTAACCTGTCTGGGCGCACTCGGTTGTTCAGAGCCCACGAATTGCGTCGTGGGAATTTCTTGTTTGAGTGGACAGCCCTATGTTTTTAGCGGGCCCCATCTATTCAGCTGCTCAGGCCCGTGGCGGACGCAGAGGGTGGGAGAAGGGGAGGGTGGGAGGGGGGGGGGGGCAGAAACTATATTGCCCATAGCCGGTCGGACGCAGTTTTCTCACAACAAAAACACAACGAAATTGGATGCCTTTGGGCCTACAGATGATCGAGAACAAGTGTCAGCAAAAGTAAAGAGTTCATAAGGAGACGAAGTTCATTCTTTGCTGATTGAAAAAGTGTTGGGGGAAGTTTGGGGCTCATTACGCTGTCTAGAGGCATTACGCGTTGGTTGCTTGACCCTTTACGTCCACTTGCCGGGTCAGTCTGATCGCTACGGGGCTTTCCGCGTTTCCCTTCTTCTCTTTGCATTTTCTCGTAAGGCACAATGTGCTGTTGAGACGCCGTCCGCCTCCATGCCTGAGCACTGTTCATCGATCAGGTTTTCCGCCACGGATTCCTTCCATTCGCCCGAAAGGCTCCGTACGCTTTTCCCGGGGTCCCCATATGCCAGGTTACACTCAGTTGCTCAGGGGCCCCTTATATAAGTCTCGGGTTCTTTACACCTGCTTGGAGGGCCTTGTGCTGTTGCTAGGGCTCCTAAAAGATAAGACACGGAAACACCCGCTGCCCAGGGTCCCTTTACTTTGATCGAGGGCTCTCTCCCTTTGGTCTCATTTGCGGAGGACTCTTCACTCCTATCGAGGATCGTATTGTTAACCTGACCGTGCCCTCTTGATCGCACAGGGGTATTAATTCTTGGTCTTGGATAATTCTCCACTGCCCGGAGGGTCCTGTTCTCTGGTCGGTGCCTTATGTCAGCCAGCCGGGGCACTGTCGGTCGTTTAAGGGCCCATCATGTTGGTCTTGGGTTCCTTTTGCTTGCCCCGAGGACCCTATACTTGTTAACGGCAGCCCCTTTGTTGGCCTCGTGCGGCACCCATGATCGCTCAGGTTCCGTCCCTATAGAACTTGGTGCCTTCGTCTTAAAGCAGCAGTCAAATATGCGCCGATGAATTTTTAAGCGCAATTGCCGAACGTAATTTTACGTACCGCTGACGTCGTATGTGTCATTTCCATAGGCTCTTAAATGTGTGACACTCATTAGACTAGTGTGTCACGTTTAAAACATATTTTGAATGCTAGGATACGTTGCACTCCTTTACAACAAAGGAACAATTCTACATTAGTCAACATCCATCACCTGATTACATCGCTCAGCCGACTAGCCGTAAATACATAAGCTAGGAATCAAGTCCATTCCTGGCTTTGATGTTTGTTAACAGGCAATTTAAGTTTGTTTTGCAAGTTGTGCTGTAACGCTTAGCCCTCAAAAGCATTTAACATGATCTATTGGAAATGAGTGAGCTCTATGCGTGTGCATGCGTAGCACGCCTGGCCTTTATAGGGCCATGCACAGTAAGATTGAATTATATATGTAATATGTATATATATATATATATATATGTGCTACATGAGGCTTGTCTTAGAGTGTAATGTAGGAAGTGCAAAAACTCTTTGTTGAGAGGGCCCCGAACTCCAGGGGTCCCTGTGATGTTGCGTGCCTCCCCCCTTTGACGAAATCCTGGATCCGCCCGTGCAAGCAGGGTAACATATAGGGCCCAGTCAACAGCGCAGGGTCCTCCATTCAAAAAACAAATATCCAAGACCCGATGTAGAGGACCCGAATGATGGAGTGTGCCCGAGCAGGTTAACAAAGATAAGGCTCCTAAAAAGAGCGTAGGGCCCTCCATTCAAATAGGGAGTACACAAGACCAATGTAGAGCGCCCCCAAATGGTCGAGTGTGCCCGAGCAGGTTAACAAATAGGGCTCCCAACAAGAGCGTAGGGTCCTCCATTCGAATGGAAAGCACCGAAGACCCTCTGTACATGGTGCCACAATGGTGGAATGCGCCCGAGCATCTTATCAGAAGGGGCCCGACAAGAGTGTAGGGCCCTCCATTCAAATAAGAAGTACCCAAAACCCAATGTGGAGGGCACCCGAAAGATGGAGTATATCCGAGTGGATCATCAGGTGGCCCAGACAGGAGAGTAGGGCCCTAAATTCACACACCAAGACCCTATATATATATATATATATATATATATATATATATATATATATATATATATATATATATACAGGGTCCCGAACAATCCAGTGTGACCGGAGCGGCAAACAAATGGGACACCCGACAAGTGTGTAGGGTCCCATTAAAATAGCACTGCCCAAAGCCCGATGTAGAGAGTCCCCGAACCATCCAACAAGCCCGAGCAAGCTATCAGAGTCCCCCTCCCCACAAGAGCGTAGGGCCCCCTTTCTGCATTCAGAAAAGAAGCACCCGAGACCCAGTGTGGGGAGTCCCTGAACGACGTACGCCAAAGCAGACCATCAGATGGGCCCCCGGCAAGAGTGTAGGCCCCTATGCAAGTGACAGAGAACTGGACACGCCCTAGACCAATACAGATGGCCCATAAGCGTATCGCTGGTGTTTCGGTAGGTTAACAGAAACCCACTTACAGGGCCCCCGTGCAAACGAGAATATCCCGGCAGGTTAAGATATGGGACCCGGCTATAGCTCACAAAGCCTTTCTGGCGAATGGAAAGAATCTGTGGAACGGCCCGTGATTGACAATGGTGTCTCGACACGGTAACAGGAAGGGCCCAACAACAGCGCAGCCCCCCCCCCCCCCCTAAGCAAATGCAAAGGAATAAAGGGCAACGTGGAATGCTCCTTAACGATCGAAATGATCCTGCAAGTGGGCATATGGGTGGCCCGGAAACAGCATGGGGCTCCTAGGCAGTGTAATGGGGCTTAAAAATTACAGTTCACAGCTTTTCCAGTCATTGAACAATTTTTTTGGACTTCTCATAGGTCTTTCACTTTCGCTGACAACTGTTCTTGGTGGTTTGGAAGTCCAGAGATGCCCAGTTTTGCTGCATTTTGTGTTAAAAAACTGCGCCTGTTCGGACGGCTATGGGCACCCTCGGAGCCAACGGGCCCCGTCGGGGCCCGAGGGGGGGGGGGGGTCCATGACCCCGTGGCCCGCCTCTGGATCCGCCCCTGATTTTGTGAAAGTAGGGTGAACTATTTTTCGAACATTAAATCACTTCACCTGGCCTAGTGCCATAGTATTTAATGAGACTTAAGGCTATCATGCCATCCGTGTCATGCAATCTGAAAGCTCTGACACATCCTTCGCGTCAGTCGTTTGACAGCTCTGGCGCGCTCTTCGTGCCATCTACCCTGGTGGCTCCATCTCGTTCGCTGTGTCAGCCGATCTGATGACTTACTCGTTCCATGTGGCTGCCAATCCGAGATCTTCGACGTGAATAGATCCGCTCGTTGTGCCGTGATCGCCGTTTCAGATAGCCTGACAGACAGTTACTACGCTCTCCCGATGTGGCCGCCGGTGCCACAGTTTTGATGCCCTCCCCATGTGGCTGCCCACTGGCCAGCTGACCACTGACACTGACCACTGCCTACTGACCAGGACCACTGACACCCTCGGTGTCGGCTGGTCCGACGGTCAGGCCATATCTCCAGACTGACCGCAGATCTTGCAGTTCTGCGATACCGGCAAGCGTTCCGCGTCGGCCGACGTCGTCGTCGTCAGTGGGCTTTACGGCGTTCTCAGCTGCTGAGGCTATATGGCCTCGGTAGTTGATGCCATATGCCACTATGTAGCTATGTAGTGGTTAACGCAGACGCGTCCGCCACTACACTACCGGCACCCGCGTGTCGGCCGACGTGTCTGTACCGACACGCTCCCCTATGCGGCAGCATGTGAGCTATCGGCCGTCGGCAAGCCCGTCTTCAACCGGGATTCACGCGAGCGGTACGGCTCCTGGATGCGCGACGCCTCCCCACCCAGCCTGCTCGACGCCGACAAGTACTGGTACACGCATGAGCGCCAGCCGCGTCTCCTCTTCGAATACTCCGACAAGGACAAGTTCGACCGCAAGATCATCACGCGCAACATCACGCTGCCGGAGCGGCACCAGGGCAACTCGCACGTGGTGTACAACGGCTCGTTCTACTACCACGTGCGCGGCCGTCCGGAGATAGTGCGGTTCAGCCTGCGCCAGGGCCAGATCACCCACCGGCTGGAGCTGCCGCTGCTGGCCGCCAACCGCAGCGTCTTCCTCTACAACTCCAGCTACACCTACGCCGACTTCGCCGTCGACGAGAACGGCCTTTGGGTTATCTACGCGCTGCCCGGGTGAGGCGACACTCCGGGCCAGAGGACCAGACGGCCCCCGGTGCCGTTAGAGGGCGTTAGTGCCCACGCCCTACAGCTTGTGACAATGGCGGCATGTATTTGTAATAAGCGTGTCCTAACCTAGCCCCCCTAAGAGACTCCTGCCATGACATGACCCGGGATAAGGTCTCACAGTGGTGAAGAAAGCCGGTGCTGGCTAACGTACCAGCAGATCAGGAACCTCACAGGGATGGATAAAGCTTATGCTAGCTAGCGTACCGGCAGATCTGGAAGCTTTTTTGCGTTTCCTCGTCATGACTAGGACATCTCGTGCTGCTTCCCTGACTATATCCTAATGACTGGCGAGTCCTCCACTAATACGTTCTGCGCCACCTGCCAGGAACAACGTGGGAGTGGTGAAGCTGCAGTCGGACAACCTGGACGTGCTGCACACCTGGAACATCTCCTTCCAGGGCGACAGTCACGCCAAGGACGGCGACATGATCATGGTGTGCGGCGTTCTGTACGGCATCAAAAGCCTTACCGAGAGTAACACCAAGTTCAGGTGGGCCTCACGAGCGGCCGGTCCGCCGCTGCACGCCGCTCTGCACACAGCACGCTGCTGGTAGCCAGCAGGACGCGCCGGACGCCAGTGAAGCGCGTGCCACCGAACGGAGAGAGGGGCGGTCGCGCACAACCTGGCACGCGTGCTGTTGACGTCATATGTACCGGCACCTGGCCGTGACACCCGCAAATTGCGCTGGAAAACTTGTCATGATGCCCGCGGGACGGAACCTCGTCGGCGGACGCCCCGAGGAACCCAAAGCAAAAAGTCGCGCTCGAAATGGATGTGGTCTGCAAACATTTCACATTCTTTTAATGTTAACGGCCGCCTCATTACTTACAGAACCGTTTGTAGCCTGACTTTTTTCATTGCCAACACTTATGAGTCATTGGTATTCGTGTGTGCTGGTATCTGTCTGAGCAGTTTGTAAGGAGTGGGTCTAGCGCTGCCCGTTTTTGGCCTGTTCCGCACCGACGCCCCGGGGTCAGTCCCCGCTAACAGACCGCCAACTCTGCAGCCTGGCGCTCGACCTGTACACCATACAGTCGCTGCCATACGGCGACCTGACCTTCACCAACCCGTTCCGCCAGACCACCATGGTCGGCTACAACCCGCGTCACAAGGCAAGTACTCACGACGGCGCCCGTTCACGCGTGGTCCACGGGGCGCGGGCCACCTGGTGGTCCGCGCCCCGTGGCGGCGGCGGCGGCGCCCACCTGCTGTGTAGGGGCAGTTGGCCCTCTGTCAAACGGCCAGACTGCTCGTTTGAAGGCGTCGGCCCTCCGCGTTGAGACGTCTTGGCTTTCATGCGCTGAATGAGGCATCACCGAACGGGTGCGTGGATCGTGGAAAACCGTTGGCGCATGGGCGTATGGACAAACCGCTGGCGTGTGGCCGTATGGACACACCGCTGACGTGTACCCCTGACCGCAGGAGATCTACTCGTGGGACAAAGGTAACCAGCTGACCTATCCGGTGAAGTACAACGCCCTGGACGACGGCTCCTCCACCGATGAGCCAAGCCTAGAGGCGCTGATGAACGCCCCGGACTACGTCATCACAGAGTCCGACGAAAACGTCTGATGACGTCAATGGGCTTGATCACACGCGACGAGCGAGGGGTGATGATGTCATTGCAGGGTTGGACGTCAGATGATCAGCTATGTCGTGAAATGTGATGAACACCGTTCACTACTAAGCTTCTCAGGCGAAGAACGGCACGGTGTAGTTGCATCTGACATGTAAATAACGCACACCCTGACGCCACCACCGATGTGGACGCCCGGTGACGTCACTGATCCGCGCGCCCCACGACGGGCCGAGCGCCGCCTGCGGCTGTGGCGTCCCTGTGACGTCACTTGACCGGAGTCAGCTGCTGAGACGGCAGCAGGGGCCCGGTGTGGGCGGCGCCGGCCGGCTCCGCCCGACGGGCGCGGCTGAGCGCGCGGCTGGCCGGGCCTGGCCGCCAGACTGGGGCGCCGTCCCGGGCCCCGTGAACCACGGCGGATGTGTGTGCCACAAGACCTGTGCAAGGTGTCAGTGCCGCGTGTATTTAGATATTATCAATAAGCATATCTCCGATTAAAGCTTAGTAATGGTGTGGACTGATTGTTAGCCAGCACTACAGTGTTTAAAGTTTGCAGATGCCCAGGCGCGTAACCATGTAACCTTAGACATATAAGTATCGACCGCTGTCTGTAAATCCTGTGTGTGAAAACCATCGCATGTAGGACAGCTCTTACCCTTGTCCGGTCCATTCTCAGCTATCTAGAGCGTATTTGCTGATGTCCTCTCCAGGGCCGTATCATAATGAAGAGTTATCGACGTGAATCGCTTCCATTTTCCTAAATTCAATTTTTTGATCACGTAAAGCGGCAAGCATGGCGAGTTCAGACGCGTGCATCCACATCATGGCATCATATCCTATGTACATAAACTAGACAAGCGGTTATAGCGCATAATCATCACAATACAGGCCAGCATTAACAGTTCACAAAATTGTATGTGACACCAGAGATGAAACAGTTCCTTGCCATCGCTGACTGCAGGTTAATACACCCAGTAATCACAAGAACCAATTAGCAAAACAGCAGCGCTCAGGTCATGACCAGCATACCCGAATCGCGTGGCGCCTCACCAAGGCACATCTCCTCTGAAGAGGTGTGGGAAGAATCTAGACAGGGAGACTGGAAGATTCTTCCATCTCCACGGGGGGAGTGGGAGTATTGGGAGACGGGAGAAGACTGCATCACGTTACACCTCCCCTCGGAGTCGGTAGCGCTGCACCAGGTCACACCTCTCGGGGCCGGTAGCACCGCACCAGGTCATGCCTCCTCTCGGGCCAGTGGCACTGCGCCAGATCAAACGCACCAGGTCACACCTCCTGTCGGGTACGGTAGCACTGCACCAGGTCACACCTCCTCTCGAAGCCGGTAGCATTGCACCAGGCCACGCCTCCTCTCGAAGCTGGTAGCACTGCACCAGATCACACCTCCTCTCGGGGCCGGTAGCACCGCACCAGGTCATGCCTCCTCTCGGGGCCGGTAGCACTGCACCAGATCACACCTCCTCTCGGGGCCGGTAGCACCGCACTAGGTCACTGGTCCGCTCCAGCACCTCGGCCCAGTCGTCGGTCTCCAGACCGCCGGCCGAGAACCGGTGGAACTTGGCGATGTTGAAGCGGGCCGTGACGGCGTGCAGCGCCGCCAGTGAGTCGCCCACCGCGCGGCTGGACTGGAGCGCGGCGGCCGTCGGCGCAGCTCGCACGCCTGCAGCGCGCCGAATGGCACGTCACAAGATACGCGACGGCAACGAGCGGTACAGTAGTTACAATCTCTGTTCAAGCAAATCACAGACACCCGGACATGTGTTGTCGGCCGCTCGGCAAATAGCGAGAAGAAACAAATGCCGGAGAGAACGTGCTCACCGTCTTTTTTGGTGCAGCGGGGCTGGAGCAGGCCGTCTCGGCCCACTGTCGGTCCGAACAGCGCTGGGAAGGGCGACGCCGTGCGCAGCGGCTCGCGCAGTCGCACCGCTGCCCGCCGACCGGTCACCTCCAGCCACGGGTCACTGCCAACGCCGGCCGGCCTGCGACGGACGGCACCGTCAAGGTCGTAACAGGCACAGATGGCATCGTCGGGGTCGTAACAGGCACAGATGGCATCGTCGGGGTCGTAACAGGCACAGACGGCATCGTCAGGGTCGGACACAGACACAGGCGGCACAATCAGGGTCGTAACAGGCACAGACAGCACACAATCAGGGTCATAGCAGACACAAACTGAACCGTCGGGGTCGTAATAGATACAGGAAGCACCGTCAGGGTCGTCGCAGATCGCACAGTCAGGGTCGTCACAGACAGGATCGAAGGGTCGCACAGTCAGGACGGCAGCAGACACAGACGGAACACTCGGAGTCGTAACAAACACAGACGGCGCAGTCATGGCGGCGGCCGCAGACACGCTGGCCGAACATCTCACGACTTCGGTATCAAAGATGGAAACGTGTCTTTGTAGCCGCGTTATCCGTCATCAATAAAAAACAACGTCGTTGTCATCGACACCTTCGCGAAGTGCGCCCCCCCCCCCCCCTTCCCCCCCGCCCCCCCCCCCCCCCCCGAGACCCTGATAAGCACTGCAAACATCGATGGATGTGTTTCGATCCCCCGTTGCGCCTCACCTCAGTTGTTTATCTGGTACACCGCGCAGGACCGTGCAACTACTCCAGATTTCTGACTCGTCCGGGACGGCACCGACACCTGGTGTGACACTACATAACTTCAGGTTTCCGCCTTCCAGCCAGGTGGAGAGGTAATCATTTTGACCGATTCCCAGCGGCAGACTTGACGCCACACCAGCCACCGTCCGGCCACCGTACGAAAGGCTTGATGTCACCTCATAGAGCGGGACTGGGTCTCGCTTTCGTCGCCATGGCAACGTGATAGTGTCTAGCGCAGCGGCCAACACAGCACCGCTGTGGTACGGAAGCTCCGGCTGAAACATGCAATATGCTGCCGTTAAGTGATTCACGACCAAGTACTATAAGTCATGCCTGTAACAAAGTTTTTCTACTTTAAGCCACATAAATCAAAATTCAATGCAACCATCACAGGATTGATCCTTTCAAAGCCAAAGCGAACGAACCACACACTCCACATCAATTGGCATCCAGATGCTTCCGGCAAAAAACCGTCTATAATCTGATGGCATGTACCTTGTACTCAAAATTCTCCATGCGCCTATAAGATGGCGCCACGAGCGGCGCCGTCCATTCCGCCTGCACGGAGAGTGGCGTGCACAGCGAGGCGTGGCGTGCGGCCGCGTCGAGCGTCAACACAGTGTTGACGGCCTGGTGGACGGCCTGCGGCAGCGAGAGGGCGCCGGCTGGCGGCGGCTGCAGCGGCGCCACCAGCGCCGACCGGCCCGGGTACTCGTCCGAGAGGTGCGCCAGCGCGCCGGCCGACACACCGCCGAATCCGTCACACTCGTCCGCCAGCACGTGGAAGCCCTGCCGAGCACGCAGAGACCGACGTCATGCGCGCCACCCGCCAATCGTTGCCCTGCTTGCATGCCGAGCGCCATGTTTATCGTGGATGAAAGAGATCAGTTATTAATGTCAGTTAAACTTACTAAATTTATTTGCCAGCTCAACAGTCTTACACTAAGCCAGCGGTACCTTACATTGGTATTTTGCAAGTTAAGGACGCCGTGTTTTGCCGTAAGATGAAGTGGAGCATCAAGACTAAAAAACGACTTCTGCTGAACTGTATGCATGATGCACCTGTAATCATAGGTGTTCTGCTGTCACATATCGGGAAGCAGTCATGTGCAAGGCCACATGTAAAAATATGTTGTTATAATTCGTGATTAAAAATATGTGGTCATGTTTTTCCTTCATACACAATGACTTCATTTTGTTCTATCCGTCTTAAATCACCCAAATGCATACTCACCACCAAATGGTCACATTCCTCGGCGTACGCCCTCAGGCGATCCTCGAAGTCATCGCGGAAGTCCTCCCGCAGGTACTGTGATTCCCCGAAACTGCGGGCAGAGATAGGAGTCATGCAAATCGCACATACAAAGCCACCACAATATTACTTCCGAAGTGTCTACCACTAAATGAGACATATGTTGTGAGACATATGTTATGTTACGAAACATATGCTATGGGACATATGTCTGTAAAAAGGTCACTGGGTGAGCGTCATGGCGCCGATGTGCAGATGATGTGTGGCCATCTGTATGTGTACATGAAGCACTCACCCGAACACGTCGAACGGATCATTGGTGTTCTCATGAATGTGCTCAGACAGTATGTGAACTGTCCACGGGTTCAGATGGGTGCCGAGAAAGTCGGACCACACCCGAACCTCGCCGTCCAGAACAGCAGCGGCCGGCGTGGTGTCATCTTCTTCCTGAGTGCCATCCGATTCATCCTCCTCTCGTTTACCTGTGAATTATTACTATGTCAGGTCATAATACACAGGACATGAAACATCCACAACCTTTATAACAATACAAGCAATATAAAACCAACAACAGAAACCATGCATCCTCACAAAAGCGGCACCAGCCACGCACAGCCGTTCTGTGGCCACCCGGCGCCGGCGCTTGCGTCACCTTGACAGACGTCCTTGTCGTCGTCGTCCGTGGCGCCGTCGAGGCGGTCCAGCCGGCGCCGGAGGCTGGTGGGCGCGCGCGTCTCCTGCTTGTGTCGTACGGTGTGGCCTTGCCAAAGCCGGTCCGGCTCGGCCGGCGCCGGCTCGCTGTAGAGCTGGCCGCGCCGCCGCAGGTGACCCAGGCTGCCGCGCAGGTCCACCGCCAGCAGGCGCGGAGTGAAGGTCACCTCCCGCTGCGGCACGGCAACACGTCAGCAGCCAGGTCCACGGCCACCGCACTACGACCGCACTCTTCCGCCGCATTACGACGCAGGAGGCCGCCAGCCCCCGCTGCGGCGCGGCAGACTGTTAGCGCAGGTCCAGGGCCACCGCACTGTGGCCGCACACTTCCGCTGCAGTATGACACGGGAGGGTGCAAGCAAAGCCTCGCAGGGCGGGGGCAAACCCGCGCCGGCATTGCATAGGCAATAAGTGAGGTAAAGTTTCGTTTCTCTATACTCTGCCCATCCCATCGCACCCCTACACACACGCACAATATCCCACAGAATCAGCAACTGTCAGTGTGAGCAGTCCGTGCTAAATTCTTCCGGCTGCATCTTCAGTTGTGTCAGTCACGCATAAAATATGCACACTTACCTTAGATGTTTCTCCCTCTCGAAAAAGAACGGCATGGTCCAGTTCAACTTGCGCTGACGGATCATAGACAAACGACGACTCTTGAATGTTCCACCAATGTGTGCCAACAAAGTTCGCATAGTGTCCGATTTGCAGGGTTATAATTTCAGGCGTTTCAGACCCCATCATGTATTGACCTGAAACGGGCAGCAGAGGCAACAGATGGTTAAATGGACGACCTTTACAAATAAGTGAAAACAGCCTAGAGCAAAAAGAGGCAACAATCCGCATTCAGGCGACCTGTAGGAGAAAAAGGTTAACGTCGGACGGGAGATAAAATGGAATTTCCTATCCGAGGGGCGGGCTGCATGGACTCTGGCCGCATATAAGTATTCTTGACTGCGCTGAAATTGATTCATATATCAGAAATTGAATTATATATCATCATTGGGTTATCATATCAGAAATTGATTAATATATCTGAGACTCAGTTACATATTGGTGCTGTCGGAAGTCCATTCAACGTTTCAGTCGCTTTTTAGTTCCTCTTTTTCGGACCTTACAGTTGAGACATTTGGAATATTGTTATTAGCAAGGGAAAGTGTCGCTCTCATCCTCCTTGTGTCATGACGGCCAGTTTTCCTATAAATTGGTGGCTGCCCAAAAGTTCTTGCAATACCAGCAAAGATCATGTTCAGCGATAACTTAATTTAGCGATTCTTACTGTCTCGGCAAGCGTGTCTACTGGTACTGTTTTGCTCATATCGGACTTTTAAGATACTGCCCAAGCGCACCTACGTTATACGGGTAACGAGCAATGTCTGGTGCGTTGGTGATGGATTTTCACTCGGCAATGCTCAGCCTACGAGACTTTCCTCCAACAGCAAGTGACGGGGCAGACGCTCTATGTTGTCATGGTTACCTCGCAAGGTTGCTCTGATGTGGACCTGACCTAAGACCACCGTTGTGCTTGACGCCATGTGGACTACTCGTTCTGCAATGCCGAACTCTGACTTCGATCAACCCAACCCCAGTCGGGGTGGGTGTAAACGGGGATAGGCAAATAATTATGTGAGAGTCATGCAGTTGTATGTGTACTGCTGTGTGACTCCAAACGGTTGCCCACGTTCGGCATATGCCCGCATGAACGCTGACATAACTTGGTTTGATGCAGCATCGAGATCAGCTTTCAGCTGTCCGGTTTGTACCGTGTGCTCGTACCGCAGCTTCTCACGATACTAATATACGACGAGCGAGGCCGTGTTCTATCCTCGCGGGCTGGACCTTGGCTCAGTTCGCCACGAACACGCGTCGTCTCGGCACGTTACGTCTGTGACAGCTCAACAGCGATAGGCACACGCGGGCGCCTAGATCAGCACTGCCTGCCTAAGCGGGATCGGGCATGAGTCAGCTGACCTGCGGGTCGGCGCCGGCAGAGACCAATATCGCACCACAGGACTGAGGGGCCCATATCAAAACAGGTCGCCAGGCTCAGTGGCCCTCACATGAGCAGTGAAGCCATTTCAGATACTTAGGAGGATAGGGTGGCCTTCGTGGTGATGAAGCCGATGGCGCACTACCAGTGCTGTTGGTCGTGTGTCTCAGGCAACAGCTCGGCCCTGTTAGCGTTGGACCTGCCCACCTCAACCAGATGGACAAACCCCTAGGACAAATGAGATGACCCAGGTGGCAGGTCCATCTTTATTAGTTTTTTATGCTTTCAGATTTGAGACCACACATGAGGAGAATATTAGTGTCTGAACCCTCCACCATCTTCCTTGTTATGGGGGGGGGGGGGATGAGAACATGGAAAGCAAGAGCTTCATCATCTGCCAAGAGATGGCAGCAGAGCCTTACAACCATCCATGTGAGGAGAGGTTGAGCATCCCTATCTGTCATCCCTTAACACTGCACATCAGAAAACAAACAAGCTCTGCATGTGACCAAATGCAGAGCACCAAACAAGGACTTCTTTTGGGACCACCCCTGTGAACACCATAGGAAAAACACAATAACCTGACACAAAACCAGCACTCTGTTGACATTGCCACTATACCATCTAGGAATCCTTGCAAGTAAATGACTAGAATGCTCTGCCGAAGCAGGTGGCTGGTAGAATTAAGCACCATCTTTTAACTGCATTTAAACAATTCTGACATGGGCTGGCTGGATTACACCTATCTGGCAAAGATAACAGCTCACATACAAGCAATCTGCACCAAGCTCATCTGGATGAGGCAAAACTGATTGCCAACCATGAAAACATTAGGTTCCAAACACAAGCTTCCCTTCTCCATTGTCATTGGATTGGACAGCTGACCACCATGATATTGCCCAAGAATGCTACATATCACTCCTCTGTGGTTGTCTTTCATATCACATAATTTGGGGCTTGTTCATAGTGATGTGCATTTACACCTAAATAAGTTTCACTTCCCACATCAAGCATGATTAAAGGATACGATAAAGTGCATTCAGAGCCCGTACATATCAGTGATGAAGCGGCTCTATCGGAAAAATTGGAGCTAATACCACTGAAAAGAGTAGACATTTACCGATAGCAAAGGACAAATCAAGTCAGAGCTAAACCAACTTAGTTTGGACTCATGTTTCACGCTAATACATAAAAATATGACTGCTCCCAGCGACCCCATCCCAACATGCGCAACCCGTGTGCAGAATCACAGACACCATCACAGCATTCCAAGTATCACCAGAATCATCCCCTGGACGTCCCATACCTCACCAATGTGACATAAACTGCCCCAGCGTGCGCCGGCGCAGGTTATACAGCGTATAAACACGCGTATGCTATCAAAATGTTGAAGCCCGATCTTCAGTGCTGTGCCAGTCGGCGTATGACGTCAGGTAGTACTGAACGCATCTGATCCGTCTCCTTTTCTGACTTACTCCGGCCATGCAGAGATTGAGCCATTCAGGTGGTTGACGCAGGAAAAAATGAGTAACAACGTCTGAGCTTGAAAGATCTCTGTCATATCGCCTTACACTTTGGAAAAAACAGTCTAAAGTTTTGGTGTGCCTGCGCTCGGTGTTTGCCTATCGCGAAATAGAACAGACCGCGAAAAGGCCGGCTAAGCACTTAAGAAACTGGTTACAGCAATCCCAGTAAAAAATTAACATGTCTTCCAAACAATCATGAGGCGCAACCCAAGTTACCTTTTATAACATGGTAAAGTAACGTCACGATGTATATATTTTTCTTCTTAGTAGTTAAAACCATGATCTTAAGTATAAATATCTAGTTTAAGTAATTTAATTACAAACCGGTGGGACATAGAAATTATATCAAGCGTAAACACCACCAGAAATCATTGTGCTGATCGTAATCGGTAAATTTATAGTTCTGGAGATCATTCTGGATAACCTTTTCAGTATTTTGGAAGAGATGAGCTTGGGCCAAGTCTAAAGCGGGTTCTGTCTAGTTGTAGCCTGAATGCAACCTATTAACCTTCTGTGACTTGGTAGCACATGCTTCATACACCTCTAGCAACAACTTACCCATGCTTGATTTGATGCAGCCTTGAACCGTACAGTGAGATCGGCGTTTGGCGTGGAGGTGCTCGCGGTTGGGGTCCGCACGGTTTTGGCATATGCATTTGCAGTTTTAGTTAAAACATCATCAGACCGGAACAGCAGTAACTAAGCAATGCGTATTTTTCTTCATCGCTCCATTGAAATGCATTTTTATGCATGGATTGCACAGATCAGTGACGCATCGAATATAGCATCCTATGCGGCGTGTGACCTTTCCAATTGTCATTTATTCAAAGGTAGAATATATCAAACTTCAATTGCTGTATATTGTGGGCATTGTCTACCAATGAAAGGCACAAAGATAGCAGCAAGTATTTTTGGCTAGAAATATTTTGTCCCTAAACACATAGACCATACCTACATAATGTAATGGAATAATGCATAACACAAAATAGGACCATACCACCATAACTACATAGCTCAAGTCCAGACAGTTTGTGTGCTTATATCTGTGGAAGATACAGGAGCAAATGAGTGGCACATGATTGAAGTCAGGGTGGTCTTCCATGTCAGACATGTCAGCAGTTTGCATTGCCCCTTCAACCATGTGGCACACTGCTCTCTCCCATGAGGGTTGGGACTTGTGTCACTGGCGTGAATCTACCTTCACTGGTGATGAAGTGGGACTGTGGCTCTGTTGGAGCTACTGATCATGGATAAGATTCCTTTGATAAGGGGCCATAGGTTTTGTGTGTTAACTATATCTGCCAGCAATATTCTTGATGAGTACCCAAAATGGCTCAATTATTTGCAGACTAGGCTGAGGATGGTGGATTGGAGGCATATAAAACCATTCAGATCTTCCTCTTCTTCTGTTCCTTCTAGGCCTGTAAATCCTTGGAGTTGAGTAATTCTAGCAATGTATATTTTGGTAGTGATGTATGTGGGTTTCATGTGCACATTCATTGTTCATGGAGGCTCTTTTTGTTTGAATGGTTGTGATTTCTAATAGAAGCATCTGTAAAAAGTTCAACAGCTGTTACCTCAAAGTTTTGCAGATATTTTGGTTTGGACCTTTACTTCCATGACCATTGTCATGTCCAGGCCAGTGGCATAGTTCTACAAAGTGAATGGGTGGGCTGAGTGGGGAAAATAGCTAGAGCATCCTCTAAAATGTGTGGCAGAGCTGGTTTTGTTTTGCCCACTTATTTCCTCTTGTTTGGGAGCAAATTATGGTTTTGGGGGCATTATCTCCCACACCAACCAAAAAGGTGAGAACACCAGCAGCCCAGACTTGAGTAGCCATCAACCTGCATGGTTTGCTTATTAAGGGCTTCCCATTTCAGGTATTCACCATGCCAAGGAAATCACCAAAAGCAGCTGCTGCTGCTGAGTCTGGTGCATCTGGGTCCAGCCTTAGTACTCAGTCAGCCCCGCCAGAGCGCGAGTCGTCGCGGCGCAAGCCGAGGCGGCCAGCGCAGGTGCTCGCGTCCCTAGCCGCCCCAGCGCCAGTCCCAGCGCCGGACGGCCGGCCGGCCGCCGGCGGAACGGAAGGCGAGCGCCGGCGCCAGCCCCAGCCGGGAGGCCGCCCGCCGCACCGACGGCAGCCGACGGAAGCAGCGCCGGCCACACCGCGTCGCGTCCGAAAGCGAGACGTTCGGTGCCGAGGTGCTGGTGAAGGCCGAGCCCGAGCCCGGCGCGGACCTGGGCTCGGGGTCGGGCCGCACGGCCACGGTCGGCTCCACCACCAGCCTAATTGCGTCGCTGAAGGGCAAGCGGAAGCCCAAGCCGCGGGTACGCCTCTGCTCCAATGGGTTGTCGAGGCCTGCAGCAGGAAACTTCTTGGACATGCTGATCTGGGATTGTGCTACTGATGACTTGCACTGCTAGTTTCATAGTCAAGGGTTTTGTAGAAGTGCAGTTGCTGAAAGAGGGAAAGCTTTTCATGGGCAGGGCACCCATGTGTGTTAACTGTGTGTGTGATGGGACTATCACATATCATGCTTAATGTTATGTGATAACTTTAGGGCTCTGATACATGGCTTCGAAGTTTTATGCCTAATAATGCCCAACAACAGTATTTTTGTCGTTTTTTTATGTTGGGTTCTTAGACCAGCATGACATGTAACCAACTAGCTTGCTGGCTACAGTGCTAGATGTAAGGCTCCTTCCTTTCACAGCAAGAGCTGCCATTGGTGTCGTGCGGCGTGTGCAAGCAGTCCATGAATGAGCGAGCATTCGAGAGGCACGCTCTATCCGCCCATCTGGGCCTGGCCCGTCCCACCGGCGGGAGCCAGGTCAGTGGCACGTGGCTGGTAGGGAACAGTTGGGGGGGGGGGGGGGGGGGCGCTGGTGATCACGTGGTTGCAATCACATCCTCTTGCAGCCAAAGGGTCTTTTAATTCTGTTCTGGGTTGTTGGGGCACCACAATATGACATGAGGAACCAACATTTGTCTTTCAAACTTGGTATCAACCTAACCAGCCCTTTGAGTGACCGCTCTTTTCAATGAGCTCAGTATGTGACTTCACATTTGCCCTGTCTGGTGCGACTGCACGTGAGCGACACTGTCATTTGTTAACACTTAACCACCAGCAAGCACACGTGCGGCATTACCACTGTTTATTAGCACACTGCTAATGTTGAATGTGTCACTGTCGACAGGAGTTCTCAAAGAACGAGCAGGTGAATGCCTTCAACCGTGTGCTTAAGGCTGGCCTGAAGCTGAAGTGTCCTGTCTGCACCAAGAACCTGACCTCGTCTTTGGGTTTCTACCATCACCACAGCCAGTGCGGCAAGGATGTGCAGGTGAATTCTGGCATGAATATAACATGCAGTAATGAGGTCCTTGCATTTGTTTTACTCAGACCCTTCATTGTGTGTAAGTTATGTTTGCCTGTGAGGTCATGATGAGGATCTGTGTCATTGCAGACATTGTGTTGTGTTTTACGTGTGGTCCGCTGCTGAGTCACCCAGTCACTGACGGTGATTACGAGTCGGAAGATGTTGACAGGGTGCAGTGGTGCCTATGCCCTGTGGGCCACATGGACTGGCAGTGGTTATGCAGTCAGAAGATGTTGGTAGGGTGCAGTGGTGCCTATGCCCAGTGGACTGCATGGACTGACGGTGATTATGCAGTGAGATGTTGGTAGGTTGCAGTGATGCCTATGCCCTGTGGACTGCATGGAGAGCATGCTGCCGTATCCTCGAAGTGTGTCATTGCCCGCGATGACGGCTGCTCTCGCCCACCGCAGCCTGTCAAGTGCCCCAAGTGTGACTGGTTCTTCAAGCCGCTGTCGCTACCGCAACACCTGCGCAAGCACGAGAGGCAGGAGCAGGAGTGTGGCGGCGAGCCGGCCGTCAAGCGGCGGCGCACCAAAACACCGGCGGCACAGTGAGCGGGCGAGATTGTGGCGGCCAGTGAAGGCCACCACGCGCCGTGCTGAGTCTCGGCAGGGGTAGAAGCGGCGCAACAGGCGCATTTAGTATGTTAGATATGGGCGCAAAACGATCACAGTATTGACGGTCAGGCTGGCCTGACCACGGGTACGTCCCGCTGTCCGGGGGTCGCCGAGACGTGCCACACGAGCTGCTTCGACGGCGTGCTCCGCTGGGCGCCGCACGTGACTTGCTCGGTCTCGGTGGTGGCTGACCGCCGGTCCGCCGCCAGGTCCCGGACGGAGGGTGCCGACTCGGACGACCCGGACGCCGTGCCGGAGAACGGCGAGGTCAAGGCCAAGGTGAGCCAGCCGGCCGGTCAGCAGCGGACCGCCGCGTGACTCGGGCGGTGGGCGGCGCGGCGCCCCGGCTGCGACGCCGAGGGAAACGGTCTGCCTGGTGTTTTGGAAACAGGCCTGATTCGGCTGCTCTGTCTCTGCCATCCGTAGTTCGATTTGCGTGAATGCCGGGTACATTGTAAACTTAACCCAGGAGACCCGCTGGGTTCGTATCGCAGTCATTTGTTATTATGCGGTACCACCGTGGTAATGGTGTGTGGTGCAAACACAACGCAATGCCTATCGCTGTTCGATACCCATTGCAATGCACTTTCGCACGCCATTGAGCCTCGTGCCCGGCCGTGTCGGCTATCGCCGTGCTGCGCCGGTGCTCGGCCGTGTCCGCTGTCGCCGTCTGACCGCCGTGCGGCGTCGGTGCTCGGCCGTGTCCGCCGTCGCCGTCTGACCGCCGTGCGGCGTCGGTGCTCGGCCGTGTCCGCCGTCGCCGTCTGACCGCCGTGCGGCGTCAGCGTTCGGCCGTGTCCGCCGTCGCCGTCTGACCGCCGTGCGGCGTCAGCGTTCGGCCGTGTCCACTGTCGCCGTCTGACCGCCGTGCGGCGTCGGTGCTCGGCAGCGCGGCTACACGACTCCGCGCTGCTCGCCGCACCCGGCCCAGGTGGCCAAGTGGCGGCGGCGGCTGGCGGCCGACGGCACGCTGCGCTGCGAGCTGCCCGGCTGCCAGTTCAGCGCCGACGCCGTCGACGAGATGGTGCGGCACTTCCCCGCCTGTCGTGGCATGCCCACTAAGTGGAAGGTACGCGGGGGGGGGGGGCACGGAACCGGCGGGGGGGGGTCGCTCGGTTTGTCACGCAGAGGTGGAAGGTACGCGGGGGGGGGGGGGCACGGAACCGGCGGGGGGGGGGTCGCTCGGTTTGTCACGCAGAGGTGGAAGGTACGCGGGGGGGGGCACGGAACCGGCGGGGGGGGGGGGGGTCGCTCGGTTTGTCACGCAGGTGTGGAAGGTACGCGGAGGGTGGGCGCCACGGAGCGGGCGTTGGCGGTCAGGGTCGTCCGGCGTGTCACGCAAGGACGGTACGGTGCGCTCCATACATATTCCTATAACTCAGTCTGCCGTTTCCAGTTGTGCTGTAGCTGCCTCCTCTGTGTCGTATGAACTGAAACAAAAGCCTCGCTCCCGATGTGTCCCTATTACCAATGCGGATCTGCGGCGCGTGCCTGAGTGGGCCTGCCGGCTCCAGCTAAGCTCCTGACACCAGTGTCGGTTGCCAGTGTGGTCTGTAACCGTCGTCGCCTTCCTGGGCGTACACCCTGTAGTATTGCCTCCTGGGTGTATTCCTGTAGCCTGTGTTCTGCGTGATCCTGCAGCCATACTCTTTTTCTCATGTCCGATTGCATAACTGGTGTACTCAGGTATACTTGTGCAACCATTATGGTTCCATTAGGCCTAATCCCATAAGGTGTGTCTCCTCGGGCATAATTCTATAACCGGCGTCTTCTCACCAGGCACGCTGCTGTAGCCAGTGCCTCTCCTCAGAGGTACTCTTGTCACCAGTGTTATGTCCTCAGGTGTACTCCAGTAACCAGTGTCTCTCCTGAGAGATACTCCTGTCACCGGTTTATGTCCTCAGGTGTATTCCTGTAACCAGTGCAAGAAGCGGGCCGACTCGGAGTCAGAGATCGTGCGCCACATCAAGTCGTTCCACCCATACCTGCTGGGCGTGGGCGCGGGTCGGCCGCGTTCTCCGGAGCGACCTTCGGCGCGCGGCCGCCGGGGCGCCGGTCCCGGCACGGTCACGGCCGACATGGGCGGCGAGCTGACTTACTTTACGGCTGTGGAGCGCCAGGCGTGCGCGCGCGAGCACGCCGCCCTGTACTGGAACGAGCTGCCTAAGTGTGAGTGGCGCCCGGCCCGGCCAGTGGCGCTGCTGGACCGGCCAACGCTGCGCGCCTTTGGGACCGACTTATGTCCGCCAGCGGATTTACAGGGCCATATTTAAGCACAGCGGGACGCGTGGCGGCATTGCTATGTTAGATATGAATATAACTAAAGCATGATGCTGCAGCTTTGACTGCGTACAGAACGAAGACCAGGGTAGCCTGCCGTGACTGCAACAGCTGGTGTTCTAATGTTCATCCGTCTTTCCTGCAAGACCTGCTCATTTTCTCCGTGCTCCTCTCTCTCTCTTTCCCCGTGCTTTTGTCTTTCTCCGTGCTCCTGTCGTTCTCTTCGCTCCTCTCTCTTTCTCCGTGCTCCTCTCCGTCTCTCGGTGCTCCTCTTTTTCTCTCGCTCTCTCTTTCTCTCTTTATCTCTGTTTCTCTCTCTTTCTCTCTCTTTCTCTCTCTCTCCCCACAAGGCCTGCTGGTCTCGCGTGGCCTCCTTGCACCCCTGACCGATCGTCCGTTTGCTGTTTTGTGTGGGCTCCTTGCACCTTTCACCAGCCCTTCACCTGCTCTTGTGTGGACTCCTTACAGCCCTGACCGACGCTCTGCCTGCTGTACTTGTGTGGGCTCTCTGCGCTTCTGGGCGTCCCTTTTGCCTGGGATGGACCCGGTGCGCTGTTGACCGACGGCCCGTCCTGCGCGCAGCGCGGCCGCTGGCGTCGGCGCGGCTCCAGCTAGCCGACTGGTGGCGCTGCAGCGGCGACGAACAGAACTGCTACAGTCCGCCCATGAAGCTGTCGCCGGCGTACAAAGTGCAGGAGCTGGGCGAACCGGACCCGTACCGGTCGTACGAGCGGCTCGACACATTCGCCTTCGAGGAGCTCGACAACGGTGGGCCACCGCGGGCGCGAGGAGGGGAGCCGACCCTCGTCAGGCCTCTGTTGAACGTTCTATACTGTTGCTTTGTTGCCCGGCTATTGGCTGTGATTCCCAGGGGTATGTCAGTGTCTGCGGTGGCTCGGTGTGTGTCCTGGGGTTCGTTTTGGCGGCTGCCTGGTGCGTGTCCCCAGGTGTTTGTTTCTGCGGCGGCCGCTGCCTGTCTCCCCGGGTGTGTTCCCTGTCTGCAGCAGCTACTGCTGTCAGCTGCCGCTACTAGCGCGCCGTGTTTTGATAGGTATCTGCAGTGACTGCTGTCCTGGTGTGACCAGGCGTTCTGTGCTTTTGCGGCGGCCGGGTGACCGGCGCCGCCGCCGTGTATTGATAGGTGTCTGCAGTGACCGCTGACCTGCTGTGACCAGGCGTGCTGTGCTTCTGCGGCGGCCCGGTGACCGGTCTAGACTGGTGTCCGCGGCCGGCGGCGCCGCCCGAGCAGCCTCAGTACCTGGCCGTCAGCTGCGTGCCGGTGGTGGACCGCACCCTGCCGCCCACGGAGCCCTCCTCACTGCCGGCCGCCGTCCAGCTGTGGTCGTTCTCCTCCGACCGCAGGTCAGGCCCGGCCGCCGTCGCCGCTCGTCCCTCCGCACACCTGCCAGTAACCAGGGTGAAATGGCTCAGTTGAGAGCGCGCGAGGGTTCCACGTGGGAGATCTGGGTTCGGTTCGTGGCTAGCGCCGTGGCCTCTGGACACTGGTCTGGCCACGGAAGCCAATAGCACTCTGTGAATAATTGCGCTGGGTCGTACGCGGGGAAAGGGTACCAATGGCATTGCTGTGACGGACCTGTGGTAATAGTGGATGGTTGATGATCAAGTTCAGCGAACAGCGCGGTTTAGTTTGTGTACACGGAAGCTGGGCGACCGCTTAACGCAATAAGGCTTACATACGTGTATCGGAAATTTTTCGTTCTGAGGCTCTAATGCAGCATGTTCTCTGTCAGCTTGTATGAGTTTACAACTGAATCAAGTTTGTCCGTGAATAAGGGGCTTCGTAAATCGACATCACGACACACTGGAGCAAGATCTATATTGCGGAGTTGCTTTGGATTTCGCGCTGATGCTATCCGGCGCCGATGGCTGCAGCCGACTGATACGTGCGACTGGTGTGTGTGGGCAGGAAGGCGCGAATGGAGTACGCCTTGTGTGTGGACGGCGGCCCCGTCTGGGACCTGTTGTGGTGCCCGCTGGGCCAGCGCAGCTCGCTGGCGCGCGAGCGGCTCGGCCTGCTGGCACTAGCCTGCGGAGACGGCCGGACGCGGGTCTACACCATGCCGGCGCCGGCCAGCCTGCCCGACGCCGGCGACGAGAGGTGTGCAGCCGCTCAGACGGAACCGAGGCGGGCGCCGACGCACGCCGCCCCGCTTGCGGCCAGGCGTCAGGCGAAACGCCGCGCCGGCACTGCCCCGCCCTGCTGTCGTTCGTGCCGCTCGTAGCCGTCTGAAGCTGGAGGTCCGAGACGAAAGTGTGCGTTCGTTGCTCCCAATGGGCATAGGGAGGCGGCTGGAGGCGGCCGTCGCCGCCAGTGGGGCAATGTTACTATTGGTTTTGTCCGTACACACAAAGGTTCTTGCTGGCGTCCTGGTAGACGGTGTCCTAGCCGGCAGCTGCCTCCTGCCTGTTTGCTGTGCACATGGCTGGCACCACGCGGCGTCCGTATCTGTCACTGGGTCGTGGATGGCACCTACGGCGGCTCGTGCGTGTCCGAGTCCGTACCGCTGGCCCCCGGCTGCCAGCGGCTCGCGTGACCCGGCGCCGGCTGTCCGCCAGTCACCCCTTCTACATCAAGCGGCCCGACCTGCGGCTGGAGGTGTTTGGCGAGGTGGGCCGCTCGCCCTGCTGCCGGATCGACTGGGCCAAGACCGACGGCAACCGGTCAGTGGTGGGTCGGCCGGCCGCGCGCCGCTGATGCGCTCCCGGGGCGCCCTGTGGCGCAGGCGAGGGTGCACCGAACCGCGCGCCCCGCGGTCAGTGGTGTAGTCACTCCAGTGTGTGTCACATGACACGTTCAGACACCGGGCTGCACATTGAACTGCATGTGGTATGGCAGGTGGTGGGATTTCTGAGAGATTCCGAATGGTTTGTAGCGGAGGTGACGTGCCTATCTGCGGATGTCCATGCGAACTGACTTACATGTTTACGCTCTGACGGATGAAGCCAAAGTTGCTCCTTGCCGTCTGTTCGCGTGGGCTGTGTGTGTTCCGCAAACCGGTGCGCCGCGCGATGAAGCGTTGCTGACCGCATCGCGCTGTCATATCTCGCGTCCGATACGCCCGGTCGTGATTGAGCCGCGATTTGGCGTATTTCAGAACAGTGACGGGTATATTCGGGAACGGCACTGTGGTTCTCTGGGACATCACGTCGGTGTCGCCGATCCTGCGCGACGCCGACGGTCCGACCAAGGTCGTGTACCCCGTGCAGGTCATACCCGCCCACCGGGGACACGGCACAGGTAGGCCGGGCCGCGCTGCCCGCGAGCCGCGCGGCCGCCGCAGGCCGGCTCTCTGTCTGGCGCAAGACGGGGAGGGGTGTGGCGTGACGCATGAGACAGTGGTCAAACCAACTGGGGTTCGGTGGTATTGTTACCAGCTGTATGTTCCCAGTAGAAGTGAAGTGATATGTAATGTAATGATGTAAAGTAAAGTGATATTACCACGCCAGCTGGCTACCGCCATAACTTTGATAGCCGTTAGTTGATACCGTGACGTTTATCCTGACGTCACGGTATCGCCACGCACTGCGCCACGCCACGCCACGTCACGCCACGGCGTGGCGTTCTGCAGACTGCGATCTGTGACGGCGTTCCGTTGCGGGCGACGAACCTTGTGTGTGTGTGACGGCCCGCCTAGTTCGTCCTGACCATGACCAGTACGTGCACTGGGGCGGCCGCAACAGCCATGCGTATTGACTGGGACCACTGTGTCTATTGACTGTGAGCAGTGTGTATGTTGGCCAGTGTGCTGACTGGACTGCTGTCCGCCAGCGGTGGCCATGTGTCCGGCCTCAGACCGGTTCCTGTGCTCGGGCGGCCGGGACCGTACGCTCCAGCTCTGGGACCGTGAGGAGCCGGCTCCGATCCAGCGGGCCACCAACAAACTGCGTCCCATGCTCACCGACGTCTGCTGGCCCGTCGCCACCAAGAAACTCATCAACGCCTATGACCACAGCCTCTTGTAGGTGGACTACTATGTTGCGTAAAAACAGCCCAGGCCAGCTGATCGGTAGTTTTGTGCTGCGCGATATATTTGCCGTCATCGTGTGGCTGTATAGACGGGGACATTCGACCCAGATATTCGCAAACGCCGGTGAAGCGGTTGCCTCTTGCCATCAGTGAGGTAGTTGTTTTATGTGCTTGATTCGTGCGATTTCATGATACTATTGGTATTGGTCTTGAAGATAACTCAATGGCTGGTCGCATATGATTGTCGTAAAACGCGGTCACTGCGATTATTGTAACACTGCAGCGCTTTAAAGAGGCTCCGACGTTGACAATACTCGGTTCCACACCCTATGTTGACCATCGTCGTGACTTCACATATCAGGGTCCCTACAGATCGCTTGCCATCGTGTAAAGCGATCCATTGAACAGCCTTTCGAGAGGCAGCGTCCGTTGAGGCGCGTCGCTCCGTATGCCGGCCGGTATGTGTCTGGGGGTGGGGGTGAGCATGTTCTGCGGGCCGTCGCCTGACCCGCCGTCCTCTGCCGCCAGTGTCGGCTCGCCCTCGGTGATGATGTCGGACGCCGCCATGCCGGTGGTGGACGTGCCGTTCTTCACGCACGGCGCCAAGTGCACGGTGAGTCGGCGGCCACGCCCGGACGGTCCGCGGCGGGATCCCGTCAGCAGTGGCTGGAGCCGCCGCCAGTCATGGCCAGAAGTGTCGTCTGAGCACAGAGTCGGCTTCGCTCCGTCGGTTGCCGATTTTCCTAACTGCGTGGTTTAAACCAGGATATAAGCGGCGCGTGTTTCGCTCGTGTGCCTGAAATCGCCATAAGGCCCCGCTAAGGGGAAGTAAGACTGGATGGCTTTTGCTTACCATGGGAGCCACTGTTCTGTCGATGAGCCGGCCTGATGTATCGGCCTGCCTGCCCTGGGGGGCCGACCCAGTCGCCGGCGGCGGCGGCTTGCTGCTCAGGCGGCGCTGGTCTGCTGACCGGCGGTGGCCGCCTCTCGCCCTGCCCTGTTGCCGCCGCTGTTCAGGCCTCCCGTGCCCTTACCGGCGCCCTGTCGTCGCCGCTGCCAGTCGCTGGCGGTGAACAGCACGGTGAACGGCGTGGCGTGCGCCTCCGAGAGCGGCCTGGTGGCGCTGGCGCAGTGGCGCAACATGCTGTCGCACAAGCAGAAGGCCGAGCTGCGCCGCCTGTTGCTCAAGCTCGACGCCGAGAAGATGACGGCGCCGCTCGTCTCCGGCAGCGAGCAGCTGCTGGGCGACCAGTACATGCAGGTCTGGGAGTCCTGCGGCATCACCATCTGGGAGGCCAAAATGGTGAGAACGCGCCCAGCCGCGGCCCCCGCTTCCGGCGCGGCGTGGCTCGGATATGAGCAGTGTTTGTCCCCCAACATGTGTATTGCGGTGTTTGTCTGTTTCAAAAAGCACACGCATTTGGTAGTCTTTGGTGGGTTATTGAGATTGTACGTGCCGTAGCGCACCTTGCCCTGATTGGGAAGCGGCCCGCTGAATCCCGTGGCCGCTGGCGTTGACCCCGGCCACCGCGCCCTGCCAATTTATGTGTACGCACCCCGCAGAAGGAGAGCTCAGGCATCATCATGGACGGCTTTGATGAACACGTCTCCAGCACGGGCAGCTGGGTCTCCAACTATCCCTTTGTAGCCGTCAACAAGGTGAGATCATGCACACACTATAACTGGACTGATGTGGGCTCGTGGCATGTTTTGGGACTGATCCAAGTGCGGAGCACGTGGTTAAGGGCGGTCTAAGTCATATTGCAGTATCCTATTATGCAATCTGGTAATACGGGCGTGCCTTCGGATGCCGGCCAGCGTTGATTGTGCTTTAACGTCATGGACCGTGCCGTCACGTGTGGGTCGTTGCGCGAGCTCGGCGCGGCGCACCGCCCGCCCGCCTACACACGGCCGCGGTCTGCGGACAGGTGTGCTGGAACCGCAACACTGAGACCGACTCGTGGCTGGCGGTGGGCATGGAGTGCGGCCTGCTGCGCGTGCTGGACGTGCCGGCCGGCGCCTTCGCGGCCGTCCGCTCGTAGCGTCCGCTCGGCGCGCCAGCGGAGCGGCGGCAGGCCGTGGCCAGCGCGCGCGCGTGGTGACGTGTCTGGGCGGCGGACCCCTGCTCCGGTGTCGCAGGGCGGCCCGGCGGCGGGCCAGTGTGTGGTGTCCGGGAACGCCCCCTCCCTCCCCCTCCCCCGGTGTGTGGCGCTCAGGGACAGCCCGCGTCGCTGTCTGAATGTCGAGAGCGGACCAACACAGTGTTGCATGTCGGAGCAGCCCCACGCCCGAGTCCCAGCCCTAGGCATGGGTGTGTCGACTGCAGTGGGGGCGTTGAGGGGCGGCCGTTGCCAGTGTCAGTGTCGGGGCCAGTGTCAGAGTGTCGGGGCCAGCCCACTCCATTGTCTGTCTGATCTGCAGGGACGCCTCTGGGCAACGCTCTGTGCGATCGTCAAACGCGTTAGCTCATTGTTTCAGTCCACGTAACTGCCGAATGTCTAGTTTTCGCCTGCCCGTGAATATTGTCCACTGCGTCTTACGTGGGAAAGTGTTATCTCATAGTCCATACGTGCGTCGCGCCAAAGACAAACGTTGCGAACATATCGCACTCAAATTGGTCGGTTCGGGAACGCGTGTGTCACGAGCGCACTGTGGCAGTGTGGATGGCTGGGCAGGAATCCAAATGGCTGATTTGATCCGTTTTCCTTTTTGAACTTGGCAGTGAACTTCCTTCAGCATGTAGAAGCCGGAAGGGACTGTTGCAATTCAAGTTATACTGCGCTTCTAAAAACACCTTGTGTTGTAACGCACGTCATATGATATTCTTTGCTCGGCTTGCGGAATCAAAACATGCGACGAGTACGTCCGGATCAAAGCCCACGGTAGATGCGTGGTCCCAGGGATCAGATCTTGCAGCTTGTTTTCCGCGATCTGCGTCGCGTATCGTCTTGCCTGTCGTTTGTAATGCGAGGGCGGGCCCCATTCGGAACGTGTTCAGCTGAACGGCTGTGATAACTTATTGCCGCATGTTTTGTAGACGCCTTCAGTGTGTTCGGGCGTCGTGCAGTGAAGTGAAGTTACGCGTGGATTTGGCGATGTCGCTCCAGTCTGGTCTGTAATAAACCTCGAGGACTGTGGGCTTTGGTGAATGGCCGGCGCTTTTATTGTAAGAATATTCCACGACAATGACATATCAAACTAGTACAACTTACACCTTCGTAAACGGCTTTGCCAGCGCACGCGTTTGTAAGTGCCTGGCGACTCAGTAAACGTTGGCGATGTAATGGTGACGACTCGTGCTGTTATGCATGCATGCTTATGCTTATATATTGGCTTTATGCTTTGCATTATTGCGGCGTGACTGACTGCTGCATAGACAATAGACGTATACACTAACTGGCTTACTTTTGGGCTGGCCAGATCTGTGGGCCAATCTCGCCTGAGATTCGAAAGCGCACCGCTGCAGGCGTCTGGACACGTGCCGCCGGCCGCGCCCGGTCGCGTCCGCAGGCTCACAGCCGATCCCCCGAGCTCCGACGTCCAGCCTGACCCGAGGTCACGCCGCGCTGCCCGCTCTCACCCGAGGTCACACCGCGCTGCCCGCACTGACCCGAGGTCACGCCGCTCGGCCCGCACTGACCCGAGGTCACGCCGCTCGGCCCGCACTAACCCGAGGTCACGCCGCTCGGCCCGCACTAACCCGAGGTCACGCCGCTCGGCCCGCACTGACCCGAGGTCACGCCGCGCCACCCGCTCTCACCCGAGGTCACGCCGCTTGGCCTGCACTGACCCGATGTTACGCCGCGCCGCTCGCTCTGACCCGAGGTCATCTGTCACTCCCAGGTGGCCCTGACATGGTGGCCGCCTGGGCCCCTGGACTGGGGGTCCGCTCGAAGGTCGTCATCCTGACACCGGCGGAGTTGGCGTCCGGTCAAACACGGTCCCAGGGTGGCCGGCGACGTCCGCCGCGTCCGTGCGCCGTCATCACGGCCTTGCCAGCTGCTAACCCCGGTGGGAGGGGCGACGCGAGGGGCCGCGCGGCCGGCGGCCGGCCCCTCACCCGATCAGACAGCATCAGAACTTGTCTGACCGCAGGTCTATCATCTTGCACAGGCAGAACGAGAGGATGATGACGATCAGCTGGAGAGCGCCAAGCGCCACGCATATGCCAATCACGATGTCGACGTTCTTCACCACGTGCCGCTTAATGGCGTGGTAGCAGCCCTGCCGGGAGCCAAGTCCCGTGCTGGTCAGCTCGCAGCACACCAGACTAGCCAGCGGCTACAACCGCTCAGACCAAGGCATCGGTCGGCGCGTGAACGTAACATTACACAGTTTTTCAACGCGTAAAATGCGAAGCACCGCTTCGCTACGCGCCATGTGAGAGCCGTTTGCTTTTCGGATGTCGGTGATGCAGATATTGCAAGGCATGCCACATGAGTCTCAAGTGCAACCAGATGGGTGTTACACAACTGAAATAACTAGGCTTTCTCGACCAGAGGCGCAGCCCTGCAATGGGGGAGGGGGGGGGGACGGACGGGGGCCAGTACAACATGACATGTCCGCCAACAGTATTACTGTAAATGATCTCATACATATGATCGCATGAGGTGTGCATGCGCATATCAAACACCAATATACAATGGTGACATGCGGGCTTTCTCGACCAGACGTAAATCGCGGCCACGGGGTTGTGTGTCAAAACAACACTGCATGACCACCAATAGTATTACTGTAAATGATCCCATGACACATGATCGTATGTACTGCGCATGCGCACGTCAAAGACCAATCTACAAGGAGTGCGAGGGCCGCCGTAGAACGAGCAAGCCTGGAAGAATGCAGCAGAGCTTAATGAGCCCAGCCCGGCCGTCATACTTTTCAGACGTTCAAATTTTTTAACCGTCCGTCGCAGCTTCATGCGGTTTTCAGGAGAAGGAAGCGACATATTTTAAAGAAGCCCTATGCGGCGCGAGGCATTTGCATGTACACTGCTTTAAAGACGTGATTTTTCTGAGGTATCGCAATGCTAACAAAGGTAGACTTCCTCTTTGGGTTTACATGAGACGCATACAATTTGCTATGTGTATGAAAACGAAAAAGCTGCAAAACGCGCGTGAGTCGAAACAGGTCCTGGTCATAACAACCCCCACTTGCAACGCCACGAATCAACACAGTTTGACGAACGGGAAAACGGAAAATCGTATTGGCAGAAGTGCGAGCCGATGGATGCTGCCGGTCACGCGAGCTCGAACGGACACCATCGATCCGCCCGGTCTTTGGCAGTTCTTTTCTGGAAGGGTAATCTAGGATAGATGACAGCTGCTTAAAGCCGGGACGGATACGATACATAGAGACGGGTGACAAACGTTTGAAAAAATATATCACGCGCAATCCCGCACCGTCCACTTCACTACGTCGAGTGACAGGAACATTTAACGACCTCTAGCTTAACCAACAGATCAGCGTACGTCATTATGGATATCTCACCGCCTGACGATCGATAACCGACCGAGTCTGAGTAAGCGCCGCCCTTTCTGAGACCGGTCACCAACACAGCACATTGTGACTTAGGCGAAAAAGATGACCACGCAAACAACGCGGGGCGTGTCATCAAGCTCACTGGATCATGTCCCCCCAAAATGTGTGCAGGATTACAATAACCATTGGCAATGCAAGCAATCATAAATAATTGATGTCTCCGGCTGATGATGCCAGACCAAGAAAAGGCCAGAGTCAGCCAATTTTCAAGCAGCGTGAGTTCTGAATTCTTGTGAAAACAAGTCACTGAATCTTGGACTGCTTCACTCTCATAAGGGAATTTTCCATTGCAATGTTATGTTCACTCCACATTCATTTGTGAAGGGTTTCGGAGGCTGTTGCCTCCGCTAGTCTAAGTTTTGGAATCAACTGTATACTAACTGGGAACACGCCAACGCCTCATACGGTCTCACCTGTCTATTACTTTGCCACTTAAGGCGTCTTACTGGTTATGCATTCCTTGCATTTTAGCCGACTTTCTTTCCGTGAATTTTAGGACATTTTTACGGTCAAGTTTGGAATTGCACTCAAACCTCACAGACGCATACGACAAGGGCAACGCTGCGTGCCGAGGGCACCTGTTCAAAATAACGCAGGAATGGGTTACCTGCATGCGTTTGGCTCACGACGGGCTGAAGGAACTGGGACATGGGTCATGGGACATGACAAAAATTACGACGAGGTAGAACGACTCACGACGAGGTAGAACGAGTTGTCGGCCGAGGGGTCGGTCAGACATTTTGGGTCGCGCGGCTGGTACATGTTGTCGCTGGAGACGATCAGCTGGCAGCAGGCAGCCGGCAGCACCTGGTCGGCCGGCTTGCTGCTCGTCCACCTCTCAGCCTTCCGGAAGTCTGTGTAGTTGTTGGCTCCGCAACACGACAGCTGGAAACGAACACCATACACACTGCTGATGGTGTAATGTCCATGTATTACGCAAACTAATCGCTATTGTCAATGCAGCGTTCGCCGTTAGCACAAGCGGAGCCTGGGACGATTATCTGAAAAGTCCGCAGGCTGCATTTCTACAAAACACAGGCTTGCTGTAATGATGTGCTGTGCTTTTGTGGATTTTGGGCAACTTTTATCACGGGTTACGGGCTTGAAACAAATATTAGAGGACCAATATCTTTCCAAAGTCTAAACGCTAACCAATCTCTGTCACTGGCGTCAGCAGAGGCGCGGTGTAGGAAAGTACTACCATCAATGGTAAAAGAAGACGGGAAAAATGCGATGGGAGGGATCTCGAATAAGAACAGACATTGCAGAGAAAGCAACTGGACACAAGTTGCAACGATTGCCGCTATATGGCCAACATTTGACGTCTTGGGAACTAAAATTTTTCGTACAAACTCATGGCTTTGTTGTCAGAATTAAGTGCCTCGTACGAGTACAAATGTCGGGCCATTCTTGCCAAGTGCGTGACAACGCACACAATGCGAAAGAAAAAAGGAACCCAGCAGAAGTACGAACCTGCGCGGGCATACATTGGCTTAGCTTCCGAACACGATCGATGACCTCAATTCCTTGAAGCACTTGGCCGGGCATAAGCCGAACGCATTGTCCCGACTGTCGATATTTGACGGGTGCACTGCGCCAGCTGCTACCTTAAGCTGATTTGTCACGGTCGGTAATAGGCTCCATTCTGTTAACTTGATGCTACATTTCCTCGGCCAGCTAAACAAACATGTAACAAACGCTTCCCAACCCGAGCGTAAGTGTGCATGTCCCTGCCAGAGGCCACAACCTACCTGCGCTGCACCGAGCCGCTGACGGAGCTGCATTATGATTACGGCTTTTCCCAGAATTCCAGCGTTATTGACGCGGGCCTCAGAACCACCGGTTCCTCCAGCACTGCAAAGTAACCGGTAACGACCATGGCTGTTCTCCAAGCCTTTTGGCGTCTGTCGGCAGCGCATGGCGTGCGCGTGCACGGGGTTTACCTGAGCCATGGCGACGTTCCAGGAAACGGTAATCGTGTTGGGCTTGTCCTTGGTGGAGTACCATTCACTGATGGTGAACTGAAGAAAGGACTTGAGACCTTTCTCCGCCTCCTGCTTATATATGGTGGCCAGTATAGCCGCAGCGATATACAGCAGGAACACAATCAACATCAGTCCTCCATACTGTGGAGCAGAATGGAGGATTATCATTTACGGGCACCCCATTATCATTCCACTGTAGAAAAGGACACTATCCCTCCACTACGCCGAGGAGGCTCCGTTTGTGGGTACCAGTCCTCTACACTCAGTGTGGACCCGGACATCACTTCACAAAAATGTGCAAAATCTAGCATTGTACAGAGACAGCTGTGGTCACGGAAAACATCCGTAACCATTATCACCATGCTACAACAGACAGGTTGCCACAAACGTCAATAGTTCGTAGTGCCGTCAGCGCCACACAAGATGTCGGGGATGGCGACTGCCCATCGTCTATAGAACCTCCGTTCACAGTGCCGTCAGCGCCACACAAGATGTCAGAGGTGGCGACTGCCCATCGTCAATAGAACCTCCTTTCACAGTGCCGTCAGCGCCACACAAGATGTCAGGGGTGGCGACTGCCCATCGTCTATAGAACCTCCGTTTACAGTGCCGTCAGCGCCACACAAGATGTCAGGGGTGACGGCTGCCCATCGTAAATGGAACCTCCGTTCACAGTGCCGTCAGCGCCCCACAAGATGCCAGGGGTGGCGACTGCCCATCGTCAACAGAACCTCCGTTCACAATGCCGTCAGCGCCACACAAGATGTCAGGGGTGACGGCTGCCCATCGTAAATGGAACCTCAGTTCACAGTGCCGTCAGCGCCACACAGAATGTCAGGGGTGGCGACTGCCCATCGTCTATAGAACCTGCTTTCACAGTGCCGTCAGCGCCACACAGAATGTCGGGGGTGGTGACTGCCCATCGCCCAGGGGGCGTCGTGGCTAAGCAGTTACAGTGTCTGACTCCACGAGGAGGGCCCTGGTTCGAGTCCCGCGACCATTGCAGTTGCTGGCGTTCATAAAAGAGTCCAGACGACAAGCATCCCGTTCTTTTTAAAAACGACTTATCATTATTTTCCTGTACAACGCGCTGCATACCACAGACGGTTGTATGGTATCCAGCCATCTTGCGGAGGATAGGACGGGACGTCAGCCCCGAGCTAAGGGTCGGATGGGACGTCAGCCCCGAGCTGAGGGTCGGATGGGACGTCAGCCACCGATCTGAGAGGGTCGGATGGGACGTCAGCCTCCAATCTGAGGGTCGGATGGGATGTCGGCCCACGATCTGAGAGGGTCGGACGAGACGTGAGACCCCGATCTGAGAGGGTCGGATGGGACGTCAGCCCCGATCTGAGAGGGTCAGATGGGACGTCAGCCCCCGATCGGAGAGGTCGGATGGGACATCGGCCCCGATCAGAGGGTCGGATGGGAAATCAGCCCCGATCTGAGAGGGTCGGATGGGACATCAGCCCCGATCTGAGAGGGTCGGATGGGACGTCAGACCCCGATCTGAGAGGGTCGGATGGGACGTCAACCCCCGATCTGAGAGGGTCGGACGGGACGTCAGCCCCGATCTGAGAGGGTCGGACCGGATGCCAGGGAAAGCGGTGGTCCGACAGCTGCTGCGCGGTGTGGACGGCTAGGCCACAACTGGCCGTAATGGGGCTGATTCGCTAACGACCGGGGACGTCGCGGCGAAGGTCAGACGGCAGCCTAGCCTCGCAGCAGCGGCCGGCGGGTCCTGCAGCAGCGGCAGGCGGGTCCTGCAGCAGCGGCCGGCGGGCCCCACAACAGCGGCTGGCGTGCCCCGCAGTAGCGGCCGGCGGGCCCCACAACAGCGGCCGATGTGGCCCGCAGCAGCGGCAGGGGGCCCTGCAGCAGCGGCCGGCGGGCCCCACAACAGCGGTCCGCGTGCCCCGCAGCAGCGATCGGCGGGCCACTCCAGCGGAAGAGCACGAATACAGGTACAAATGGTACGGTTTTCATAGGTTAATCCAGGTCCGAAATCAGGACGAATTCACGCTGATTGATCACGGCATGGAATTCTTTCGGTTGGGGCATCACATCCTTACCAGCAAACGCGGACGGGTGGACTTTTGGTTTACGTTTGGTGCTTGCGGACCCATTGATGTTGATACTGCCCTTATCAGTTTGGTATCGTAAGCGCAACGGAGAAACATACTTGACGCGGAAGGACAACTTATCTCACGAGAGCACGCTTATCGCATTTTGAATCTCGAACGTACGTATTTCACATGTGTCGTGTGATTCACAAAGCTTGCAGAGGAGCCAGACGCGCTCCTCTCGGCCCTCCGATCCTATGGTATTCCCTTTCTCCGCTCCCTAGATTTTCCGTGCCTCCTGGTCCCCCGGTCCCCGGGCCCTCCTGATCCCCCGGTCCCCAGGTCCTCCTGCACCCCCAGGCCCGGCGGTCTTCCGGTCCTGCCGGATCTCCTATGTCGCACGACACGTGATACGGTCAGTACACTGCCAACTGTAAGCCCGCGGGCGGACCAAGGGCCTCGTGCTCAGGATGTTTATCTTCACCCGATCTCATGCGGTCCCTACAAGGACGACGTTCGCCAGCCTTTGTAACGAGCCCTTCGGACGGCGGCAATATCGCGCCCCTACTGGCCTGCATTCTGCCGAGCTCATCGGACTAGTGAACGGTTGTTAGTACCGTTGTGCTGTGTATAGCTCTGACTCACAGTGTTCGCCACCATGGTGCCCACAGGCCCAAACAAGGAGTGGGCAAGCGCTTTGGTGGTCGGTGCACGCCCCCCCCCCCCCCCCCCCCGTATCACTAGGACTTCAGAAGCATGCAGCGGCTCAAACTGCATTGTCAGAAGAGGCAACCGCGCTTCTCTGGGCCTGGTGTGTATCTGTGCCGCAGCCATGTGTACTATTGACGGCAGGTCCCAGTGCAAACATGATGTAAAAGTATACATTGTGTGACCCGATCGCTGAGAGCGTGTGTGTGTATTGTTGTGTCTCGAGCGCTGTTTCCATCGGAGTGTTGGCATGTATTGAGTGCAGTAACGCATCTGCAAAGTTGACGGCCTGTTCTCTATTGCACTTCAGAGAATAAACACGCGTTTCATTCAGCTCGCAGTCAATCCTAGTACGTGCATAGCTGTAAGGTCAGGTTAAGTGCGGCGGTGCTACGAGCGGACGTCCATCGATCCCCAATCTGCCTGCAGGCCATCATTATCAGACACCTCCGCGCTAGTCGTCCCCCCCCCCCCCTACCCCTCCCCCCCCCCTGCTCAATCATCCGTCTTAGCCCACACGCTCAGACCACAACGCGGCCCGTCCAGGCGGCGGCGGCGGCGGAGCGGCAGCAGCAGACGCGACGGGACAGCCCCGGCGCGCCAGGCGGCCGGCCGGCCAGCAGGGGAGTGCACAGGACCGGGCCGAGGCCCCGCCCTCTGGTGGACAGAGAAAGTGCCGACCCGGTGCCATCGCAGGCCGCTGCCGAGGCAGCCGCCACACCGTCTAGTCAGGCCGCCGAACGGTCCCGGGCCGCCACGGTCGTGACGGGATGGGCCGGACACGAGCGTCACAGTTGTGCTCAGGCCAGACGGCGAACGACTCCCTGAAATGTTCGGCTCATTGCTGGTTAAGGGTCCCTAATGTTTCAACAACTTGCGCTCTATCTGAAACAGTGCGTCGTCCAACTCCATGCTACACCGAAGCCAATCAGAGCAATCGAAGATGCCAGAGAAAGCATAACAGGTGAAAGCGTTTCAGAACCTATCAGACCAGGGTGAACGAAAACTCGTACCGTCCGCTGCCGCACCGGCGCGCGCTGGGGCTGCGGCTGGGACTGCCTGTCGTGCAGGCTCGGCAGCACATGCCTCATCCCCGCCCCCACATCGGCAGCGAGGGCGGGACACGCGTGCGACACGCAGAGCGGGGTGGCTGCCGAGCCGGCTGCCGCCGCGGCGCGGAGTATTTGGCCGACAGCGCGCCCCCCGTGCCCCGCTCAACAGGTTCTGCATCAGATTGCCGGTGCGGAGCCGGCAGTCCGGGGCGCGCTTGGTCACGGACGGGCCAGGTTATCACGTCCTCGACACGAACGGCTGGTCGCAACAGGGCCTGGCTTTGTACGACCTGCAGAGTGAATTCCGTTGCCGACAGTGGAGTGATATCGACGCAGGCATTACATGTTACCGTCAGCCTCCTGTTTCCGTCACGCTTCCTTGGCTTAGCTTGGCCTGGACGAGAGACCTTGGGTATGCACGGCTCGACCGTCAGCAGGCAAGCCGGTCCACCCCGGCATTCGAGCTATCACGGAACACTGGCCACTTTCACCGTAGTGATCCACTCTTGGATAATTGCAAACGAGTCCGTACGTCCGGCCGGTTTCGATTCACCCATCAAGGGATCACGTGGATGAAAGGGCCCAGTCCAATCAGCGGGTTCCAATGTTCACCACGCAAGATCAGGCATCGGTTGGTGCCCATTCAATTCAAGGTGCATTATGTACTTAGTTTGGAATACGCTGGTCACGCCCTCATACGTATTCTACCGTAAGATTAAGCATTGCCTTGACGTACATGTCGTTAATAACAACGTTCCAACAAAGGCGCTCCTAACACTGTTCAGGAGCCGCTCGCCATTATGCATCAGTCCGGCCAGCATCCCAACCACGGACCTCTTCTTCTGTTCACCCTTGTGGACCTCAGGCGATGTGACGCGGCCCACCGCCGCCACAGCAGCCGGCGGCTTCCAGCAGTGGTAGGCGTTTTCGTCGAACGCGTCGATGAGACAAGCCGCCACAGTGCTGTCCCGCCGGCAGCCCGTCCTTGTCCGGCCCGACGCTGGTGAAGGCGCTCTGCCGCACAGTTGTCCACCGCTCTACATCCTCCTTCCGATGACGAGCGTGGGCCTCCCGTAGCTAAAGTTCCGCGCCCGCCCCGAGCCCCGTTCAGAATAGCCATCGGCAGCAACGCAGCGCGGAAGGTTCCGGCACTAGCGAGTGGCAGCGCGGCGGGCGGTTTTTTGCCGACCGGACCGCCTTGGCCTGGAGCCGCCGGTCCCGGCCACCGGGCTACCTCCGCGCACCCCACCCAGCCCCGGCGGCCGACACGCCCACTCTCGGGCTATTCGTCGCTTCAACTCGCAGGGCGAAAGCTCGT